TGCACCGACAGACAGGGACTGCCGTGCACCGACAGACAGGGACTGCCGTGCACCGACAGACAGGGACTGCCGTGCACCGACAGACAGGGACTGCCGTGCACCGACAGACAGGGACTGCCGTGCACCGACAGACAGGGACTGCCGTGCACCGACAGACAGGGACTGCCGTGCACCGACAGACAGGGACTGCCGTGCACAGACAGACAGGGACTGCCGTGCACAGACAGACAGGGACTGCCGTGCACCGACAGACAGGGACTGCCGTGCACCGACAGACAGGGACTGCCGTGCACCGACAGACAGGGACTGCCGTGCACCGACAGACAGGGACTGCCGTGCACCGACAGACAGGGACTGCCGTGCACCGACAGACAGGGACTGCCATGCACCGACAGACAGGGACTGCCATGCACCGACAGACAGGGACTGCCATGCACCGACAGACAGGGACTGCCATGCACCGACAGACAGGGACTGCCATGCACCGACAGACAGGGACTGCCGTGCACCGACAGACAGGGACTGCCGTGCACCGACAGACAGGGACTGCCGTGCACCGACAGACAGGGACTGCCGTGCACCGACAGACAGGGACTGCCGTGCACCGACAGACAGGGACTGTCGTGCACCGACAGACAGGGACTGCCGTGCACCGACAGACAGGGACTGCCGTGCACCGACAGACAGGGACTTGCGGACGTGCACCGACAGACAGGGACTGCCGTGCACCGACAGACAGGGACTGCCATGCACGACAGACAGGACTGCCATGCCCGACAGACAGGGACTGCCATGCACCGACAGACAGGGACTGCCGTGCACCGACAGACAGGGACTGCCGTGCACCGACAGACAGGGACTGCCGTGCACCGACAGACAGGGACTGCCGTGCACCGACAGACAGGGACTGCCGTGCACAGACAGGGACTGCCGTGCACCGACACAGGGACTGCCGTGCACCGACAGACAGGGACTGCCGTGCACCGACAGACAGGGACTGCCGTGCACCGACAGACAGGGACTGCCGTGCACCGACAGACAGGGACTGCCGTGCACCGACAGACAGGGACTGCCGTGCACCGACAGACAGGGACTGCCGTGCACCGACAGACAGGGACTGCCGTGCACCGCCAGACAGGGACTGCCGTGCACCGACAGACAGGGACTGCCGTGCACCGACAGACAGGGACTGCCGTGCCACCGACAGACAGGGACTGCCGTTGGCACCGGACAGACAGGGGGGGGACTGCCGTGCACCGACAGACAGGGACTGCCGTGCACGACAGACAGGGACTGCCGTGCACCGACAGACAGGGACTGCCATGCACCGACAGACAGGGACTGCCATGCACCGACAGACAGGGACTGCCATGCACCGACAGACAGGACTGCCAGCACGGCAGCACGACAGGACAGGGACTGCCATGCACCGACAGACAGGGACTGCCATGCACCGACAGACAGGGACTGCCGTGCACCGACAGACAGGGACTGCCGTGCACCGACAGACAGGGACTGCCGTGCACCGACAGACAGGGACTGCCGTGCACCGACAGACAGGGACTGCCGTGCACCGACAGACAGGGACTGCCGTGCACCGACAGACAGGGACTGCCGTGCACCGACAGACAGGGACTGCCGTGCACCGACAGACAGGGACTGCCGTGCACCGACAGACAGGGACTGCCGTGCACCGACAGACAGGGACTGCCGTGCACCGACAGACAGGGACTGCCGATGCACCGACAGACAGGGACTGCCATGCACCGACAGACAGGGACTGCCATGCACCGACAGACAGGGACTGCCGTGCACCGACAGACAGGGACTGCCGTGCACCGACAGACAGGGACTGCCGTGCACCGACAGGACAGGGACTGCCGTGCACCGACAGACAGGGACTGCCGTGCACCGACAGACAGGGACTGCCAGTGCACCGACAGACAGGGACTGCCATGCACCGACAGACAGGGACTGCCATGCACCGACAGACAGGGACTGCCATGCACCGACAGACAGGGACTGCCATGCACCGACAGACAGGGACTGCCTATGCACCGACAGACAGGGACTGCCATGCACCGACAGACAGGGACTGCCGTGCACCGACAGACAGGGACTGCCGTGCACCGACAGACAGGGACTGCCGTGCACCGACAGACAGGGACTGCCGTGCACCGACAGACAGGGACTGCCGTGCACCGACAGACAGGGACTGCCGTGCACCGACAGACAGGACTGCCGTGCACCGACAGACAGGGACTGCCGTGCAACCGACAGACAGGGACTGCCGTGCACCGACAGACAGGGAACTGCGTGCACCGACAGACGGGACTGCCGTGCACCGACAGACAGGGACTGCCGTGCACCGACAGACAGGGACTGCCGTGCACCGACAGACAGGGACTGCCGTGCACCGACAGACAGGGACTGCCGTGCACCGACAGACAGGGACTAGCCGTGCACCGACAGACAGGGACTGCCGTGCACCGACAGACAGGGACTTGCCGTGCACCGACAGACAGGGACTGCCGTGCACCGACAGACAGGGACTGCCGTGCACCGACAGACAGACAGGGACTGCGTGCACCCGACAGACAGGGACTGCCGTGCACCGACAGACAGGGACTGCCGTGCACCGACAGACAGGGACTGCGTGCACCGACAGACAGGGACTGCCGTGCACCGCAGACAGGGACTGCCGTGCACCGACAGACAGGGACTGCCGTGCACCGACAGACAGGGACTGCCGTGCACCGACAGACAGGGACTGCCGTGCACCGACGACAGGGACTGCCGTGCACCGACAGACAGGGACTGCCGTGCACCGACAGACAGGGACTGCCGTGGCACCGACAGACAGGGACTGCCGTGCACCAGCAGACAGGGACTGCGTGCAACCGACAGACAGGGACTGCCGTGCACCGACAGACGAGGGGACTGCCGTGCACAGACAGACAGGGACTGCCGTGCACCGACAGACAGGGACTGCCGTGCACACGACAGACAGGGACTGCCGTGCACCGACAGACAGGGACTGCCGTGCACCGACAGACAGGGACTGCCGTGCACAGACAGACAGGGACTGCCGTGCACCGACAGACAGGGACTGCCGTGCACCGACAGACAGGGACTGCCGTGCACCGACAGACAGGGACTGCCGTGCACCGACAGACAGGGACTGCCATGCATCGACAGACAGGGACTGCCATGCACCGACAGACAGGGACTGCCATGCACCGACAGACAGGGACTGCCATGCACCGACAGACAGGGACTGCCATGCACCGACAGACAGGGACTGCCATGCACCGACAGACAGGGACTGCCATGCACCGACAGACAGGGACTGCCATGCACCGACAGACAGGGACTGCCGTGCACCGACAGACAGGGACTGCCATGCAGACAGGGACTGCCATCACCGACAGACAGGGACTGCCATGCACCGACAGACAGGGACTGCCATGCACCGACAGACAGGGACTGCCATGCACCGACAGACAGGGACTGCCATGCACCGACAGACAGGGACTGCCATGCACCGACAGACAGGGACTGCCATGCACCGACAGACAGGGACTGCCGTGCACCGAACAGGACTGCCGTGCACCGACAGACAGGGACTGCCGTGCACCGACAGACAGGGACTGCCGTGCACCGACAGACAGGGACTGCCGTGCACCGACAGACAGGGACTGCCATGCACCGACAGACAGGGACTGCCGTGCACCGACAGACAGGGACTGCCGTGCACCGACAGACAGGGACTGCCGTGCACCGACAGACAGGGACTGCCATGCACCGACAGACAGGGACTGCCATGCACCGACAGACAGGGACTGCCATGCACCGACAGACAGGGACTGCCATGCACCGACAGACAGGGACTGCCATGCACCGACAGACAGGGACTGCCATGCACCGACAGACAGGGACTGCCATGCACCGACAGACAGGGACTGCCATGCACCGACAGACAGGGACTGCCATGCACCGACAGACAGGGACTGCCATGCACCGACAGACAGGGACTGCCATGCACCGACAGACAGGGACTGCCATGCACCGACAGACAGGGACTGCCATGCACCGACAGACAGGGACTGCCGTGCACCGACAGACAGGGACTGCCGTGCACCGACAGACAGGGACTGCCGTGCACCGACAGACAGGGACTGCCGTGCACCGACAGACAGGGACTGCCATGCACCGACAGACAGGGACTGCCATGCACCGACAGACAGGGACTGCCGTGCACCGACAGACAGGGACTGCCGTGCACCGACAGACAGGGACTGCCATGCACCGACAGACAGGGACTGCCATGCACCGACAGACAGGGACTGCCATGCACCGACAGACAGGGACTGCCATGCACCGACAGACAGGGACTGCCGTGCACCGACAGACAGGGACTGCCATGCACCGACAGACAGGGACTGCCATGCACCGACAGACAGGGACTGCCATGCACCGACAGACAGGGACTGCCATGCACCGACAGACAGGGACTGCCATGCACCGACAGACAGGGACTGCCATGCACCGACAGACAGGGACTGCCATGCACCGACAGACAGGGACTGCCATGCACCGACAGACAGGGACTGCCATGCACAGACAGACAGGGACTGCCATGCACCGACAGACAGGGACTGCCATGCACCGACAGACAGGGACTGCCATGCACCGACAGACAGGGACTGCCATGCACCGACAGACAGGGACTGCCATGCACCGACAGACAGGGACTGCCATGCACCGACAGACAGGGACTGCCGTGCACCGACAGACAGGGACTGCCATGCACCGACAGACAGGGACTGCCATGCACCGACAGACAGGGACTGCCATGCACCGACAGACAGGGACTGCCATGCACCGACAGACAGGGACTGCCATGCACCGACAGACAGGGACTGCCATGCACCGACAGACAGGGACTGCCATGCACTGTGTTCACCGCATGCACTGACAGGACGAAGATGCACACTCACCGCACTGGCCCTGGTCACGAACATAGCCCACGTAGGTCACACCGCTGCTGCTGCTGCTGCTAAGGGAGCCGGCAGAGGGTTCACGCCAGTCAACCGAGTCCTTGTAGGTCCACGAGGGGTCGGAGGGCGTGCCCTTAAAGCCCACGCTGGCATAGCGGAAGTAGGGGTTGAAGAACCGGCCACCCGGGATGCTCGGCTGGAAGCCCGTTGAGAAGCTTCCTGGAAATGGGGGGAAGAGGGGAATGAGGTTTTCGGGGAGTGGTGAGGTGTGGGCGGGAGGGGAGCAGAGGGGAAGGAGCAGTAATGGGAGAGAGACGGCCGGAGATGCATGTGAATGGGATGACTGAGAGATGAGATGGGTTGCTGTTTGCTGTTGGAGGAGATGAGAGAGGGTGGATCTTAATGCGCTTGGGACTGACACGTGTGGCATGCCACGCGGTGGAGGGCTTACCTGTTGCAGGCTTGTCTGGGGGAGGTAGAGCTGCGGATGGGACACACAAAACGCACACACACAGAGACACACAGAGACACACAGAGACACACAGAGACACACAGAGACACACAGAGACACACAGAGAGATAAGACGGAATAGAAGGTGAGAGGTCTGCCTGTTCATTGCAAGAGTACGATAGAGGTTGAGTATCTGATAATTCTCAAATGTGACAGATGGCTTATTGGGGTTGAGGGTGGGGAGAGGGATGCAAGGGTGTTGATTCAAGATCGACCAATGGAACGACAACAGGCTGAACATCTGAGCTAGCAGCAAAGCGAAGCAGAGGAGAGAGCACTCAGAGCATTCACACCCCACACACCCCACACACCCCACACACCACACACACCACACACACCCCACACACCACACACACCCCACACACCACACACCCCACACACCCCACACGCTGCACGCACCCCACTCACTCCCCACGCACCATTCTCAGGGTTCTTGCTGCAGGTCGTGTAAGTCACAACCACGCCCTCCACCGTCGCATTCTCAAGCCCGGGCATGAACCCGCTATCGCACGCACACGTCGCCTCGCCCGATCCCTTCCTCAGCACACACCGCCCATGCCCCCCGCACGGCCCCGCTTCCAGACTCGCTCCACAGAACCCCGCACACGCGAGTGCTGTTCTCTGCTGCTCCACCAACCCGGCTTTCGCACACGCAGAGGCTTCCGGGTAGGTCAGGCAGTTGAGCAGAAGCGACGGGTACCCTGCTGCTCCAGAGTCTATCAGTCCGGTTTGATCAGCGGAGGGAGAGACAGAGGGCCCTCCTGAGAGGGTTTCAGCGGCGGAGGAGGAGAGGGCTTGGTCGGGGGATTGCGGCTGGGAGGAGGGGCAGAAGGGAGCGCCGGCGACTGTGACGGTGGCTGCTCCTGTGAAGTAGTTCTGTGCTGCGAGGAAGGTTCCGTCGGAGTCTGGGGAGGAGATGGCTGCGCTGGCGAAGCCGGATGGGAGCGGGCCGGACAGCTGGTTGTTGCTGATGTCTCTGGTGAGGGGGTGGAGGGGAGGAACAGGGGGGAAGTGGGGGAAAATGGGAAGATTGGGAGAGGGGAGAGGGGAGGGAGAGTGAGTGGGGGGGTTCAGGGTGCGAGGAGGGAAAGCGGGTGATGTCGCCGGTGAAGTAGTTCTGTGCCGCACTGTCCGGTGAGGAAGGTCCCGTCGGAGTCTGGGGAGGAGATGGCTGCGCTGGTGAAGCCGGATGGGAGCGGGCCGGACAGCTGGTTGTTGCTGATGTCCCTGGGGAGGGGGAGGAGGGCAGGAGGGGTGGAACAGGGGGGGAGTGGGAGGACTTTTGAGATGTCTCAAACGGCGATGGCAGTGCTAGTGAAGGCGGATGGGAGCGGGCCGGACAGCTGGTTGTTGCTGATGTCTCTGGTGAGAGGTGGGGGGGAGAGAGCGGGGAGAGAGAGAGAGAGTGGGTGATGGGGTGTAGGGTGGGGGGAGGGAGAGTGCGGTGTGGACGGGGGTGCAGAGCAGAGCAGGGGAGGCAGGATTGGAGTGGAGTGGAGTGGAGTGGAGTGGAGGGAAAACCGTGGACGTACAGGGACTTGAGCGAGGGGAGGGATAGCAGGGCGGAGGGGAAGACCCCGGAGAGGATGTTGAGCGAGAGATCACTGCAGTGAGAGGGGGAGGGGGAGAGTGGGAGAGAGGGGGAGAGAGGGAGAAAGGGAAAGATGGGGAGGGGGAGAGAGAGGGAGAAAGGGTGAGTGTACAGAAAGAGGGAGGAAGGGGGGACAAATGAAGTCTTGGTCAAGAGCTGTGAGACAAGGCTGGATATGCGTGTGTATGAGCGGGAATGACATATCAAATCTGACAGGCAAGTGCAGGCGGGCATGTGGAAGATAGGGTGGGCTGAGGAATTGAGGGAAGCGAAGGGAGGAAGAGGGGAGCAAGCGCACTGACAGTTTCTCGAGAAGAGAGAGGTCGGAGAGAGTGTCTGGAATGCTGCCCACGAAGGCGTTGTCGTACAGTAGGCTGGTTGCGGGAGGGGGGCATGGCATGGCATGGCACGAGGCAAAAGGCAGTGTAGAAATGAGGGGTGGAGGTTGGAGGCAGCAGAGGAGCAGTGAGGAGGAGGGGTGTGCATGCGACGGTGAAGCGGGTTTGAGCACAGACAGTGACAGTGACACCGACAAAAGCCACGGGGGCTGTTTCTCATGAGGAGGGGATACGATGAGTGTGTATAAAGAAGAGTGTGTGTGCGTGTGCATGGCTAGAGGCTCGGCTCACAGTGTACGCAGATTAATGAGCCCCCCTAAACCCTCTGGGATGATCTTGTTGAAAAAGTTGCCGCCAAGGTTACTGAGGGAGGAAACGGAGCGACAGGAGCACACACATGCATTTGAGTCGACTCAAGAGCGACAGGAGCACACACATGCATTTGAGTCGACTCAAGAGCGACAGGAGCACACACATGCATTTGAGTCGACTCAAGAGCGACAGGAGCACACACATGCATTTGAGTCGACTCAAGAGCGACAGGAGCACACACATGCATTTGAGTCGACTCAAGAGCGACAGGAGCACACACATGCATTTGAGTCGACTCAAGAGCGACAGGAGCACACACATGCATTTGAGTCGACTCAAGAGCGACAGGAGCACACACATGCATTTGAGTCGACTCAAGAGCGACAGGAGCACACACATGCATTTGAGTCGACTCAAGAGCGACAGGAGCACACACATGCATTTGAGTCGACTCAAGAGCGACAGGAGCACACACATGCATTTGAGTCGACTCAAGAGCGACAGGAGCACACACATGCATTTGAGTCGACTCAAGAGCGACAGGAGCACACACATGCATTTGAGTCGACTCAAGAGCGACAGGAGCACACACATGCATTTGAGTCGACTCAAGAGCGACAGGAGCACACACATGCATTTGAGTCGACTCAAGAGCGACAGGAGCACACACATGCATTTGAGTCGACTCAAGAGCGACAGGAGCACACACATGCATTTGAGTCGACTCAAGAGCGACAGGAGCACACACATGCATTTGAGTCGACTCAAGAGCGACAGGAGCACACACATGCATTTGAGTCGACTCAAGAGCGACAGGAGCACACACATGCATTTGAGTCGACTCAAGAGCGACAGGAGCACACACATGCATTTGAGTCGACTCAAGAGCGACAGGAGCACACACATGCATTTGAGTCGACTCAAGAGCGACAGGAGCACACACATGCATTTGAGTCGACTCAAGAGCGACAGGAGCACACACATGCATTTGAGTCGACTCAAGAGCGACAGGAGCACACACATGCATTTGAGTCGACTCAAGAGCGACAGGAGCACACACATGCATTTGAGTCGACTCAAGAGCGACAGGAGCACACACATGCATTTGAGTCGACTCAAGAGCGACAGGAGCACACACATGCATTTGAGTCGACTCAAGAGCGACAGGAGCACACACATGCATTTGAGTCGACTCAAGAGCGACAGGAGCACACACATGCATTTGAGTCGACTCAAGAGCGACAGGAGCACACACATGCATTTGAGTCGACTCAAGAGCGACAGGAGCACACACATGCATTTGAGTCGACTCAAGAGCGACAGGAGCACACACATGCATTTGAGTCGACTCAAGAGCGACAGGAGCACACACATGCATTTGAGTCGACTCAAGAGCGACAGGAGCACACACATGCATTTGAGTCGACTCAAGAGCGACAGGAGCACACACATGCATTTGAGTCGACTCAAGAGCGACAGGAGCACACACATGCATTTGAGTCGACTCAAGAGCGACAGGAGCACACACATGCATTTGAGTCGACTCAAGAGCGACAGGAGCACACACATGCAAGGGGGCAGGGGGGAGGCAAGGAGATGAGATTTCGATTTACGCGCCTCGAAGATGGAGAGAAGGATTAGTAGAGAGAGGAGGGAAACGCATGCGAGAAGCCAAAGTTGAAAGTTATCAGATTTTAAGCGTGGGAGCAGAGCAAGCAGGAGATGCACTGACAGGTAGATGAGGGTGGAGCAGAGGGCGAGGGAGGAGGGCAGGGCGTGGTCAAAGCTGTTGCGCGCTAGCGACCTGCAGGCATGGCAGGGAAGGGCAGAGCGGGCCAGAGAGGGGCAGAGAGGGGCAGAGAGGGGCAGAGAGGGGCAGAGAGGAAGATGGGGCATGTGAGAACGTGAGAACGTGTGGATGTAAGAATCAGAGATTGTGTGGACGAATGAATGACTAGGCGAGTGCGTGAGGACAGCAGCATAGAAACTGCACGATCTAGGACAGCTCGGGTGGGAGGGGCAACTGAGGGCAAGTGGAAGGAACAGCTGGGGCGAGGTGGGGCGGGGTGGGGCTGGGTGGGGCTGGGTGGGGCTGGGTGGAGTGGGTGGGACAGTGTGGGGCACGTGGTGCTTGGCTTGGCTTGGGCCTCACAGCTCGACGAGGTTGGGCATGTCGGCAAAGACGTTGGGCACCTCGCCCGTGAGTTGGTTGCTGTGCAGCACGCTGCACGACCGTGAGAGGCGGATGGGCGGGATGGGCGGGATGGGCGGGATGGGCGGAATGGGCGGCATAGGAAGAAATTCAGGGGAGGGTAGCCGGATACATGCGCTCAAGCACACACGCGCATGCACGTGCAGACGGCGACGAGCAGGAGGGCAAGCACAGGAGAGAATGGGGGCCGAAGAGGGATGTTGAGTGGAGGCTGTAAGAGTAGCGCATGGAAGAGTGAGAGTGAGAGACAAGGAAGAGAGGGGAAGGCAGCCGAGAGAGGAGGCTCACACGGAGAGGCAGAGGGGGAGCGATGTGGCAGTGAACGGGACGCGGGAGAGAGTCGGGAGCAGGGAAGGAGAGGAAGGAGAGGAAGGAGAGGAAGGAGAGGAAGGAGAGGAGGGAGTGGAAGGGAGGGAAGGAAGGGAAGGAGGGGAGGGCGGGTCAGGGGAAAGGCGGGAGGGAGGGAGGGAGAGGCAGCAGCGCACGCACAGTGTTTCGAGGCGAGTGAGAGCAGAGACGGCTTTGGGCAGCTTCCCTGTGAGTCTGTTGTCCGCCAGCGACCTGCACGGCATGGACGGCGTGCAGCGGTGCAGCGGTGTGAAGCGGAGAGGGAGGAGGGGAGAATGGGGAGAAGCGGGCGGTATGGTTAAGGGAGAGGAGCGGGTAGGGGTGTGGCGGTGCAGGGGAAGGACACTCCGAGAGGGGATGGGTGCTGGTGAGAAACCGAAGAGGTGTGCGAAGGTGAGCGCAGGAAAGGGCGGATGACCGCAGGTGAGCGCGGGTGAGCGCGGGTGAGCGCGGGTGAGCGCAAGTGAGCGCAGGTGAGCGCAGGTGAGCGCGGGTGAGCGCGGGTGAGCGCAGGTGAGCGCAGGTGAGCGCAGGTGAGCGCGGGTGAGGCGGCATGGATGGACGCACAGGTACTGTAGCGTGGTGAGGTCGAAGAGGTCCTTGGGAATGCTGCCGGTCAGCCCCGCAGCCGTCAGATCCCTGTAACGCGTGCAGAAAGTGGGGGGAAGGAGGGAGTGTGCTTTGCTCACAGGCTTGCTTGTTCCCTTGTCTGCCTACCCGGCGGCATGCTTGCAGGTTGTCTCTCTGCTGCTTTGGTGGCTACCTTGTCTGCCTGCTACTGTGCTGTCTCTGCAGGACTATCAGTCTGGAAGTTGGTAGTAGACTCCCTTGCATGCCTAGGACGATCTAGCACTTGCCCTTACCATGCCTGTATCCTTATAAACCCATCAATGAAGGACCGCTTGAGAGAGAGAGGGGGGGGGGGGGGAGAGAGAGAGGAAGGAAGCCAGAGAGAGACGCACAGTGACTGGACGGTCCCGTCGTCGTTGCACGAAAGTCCGCCGACTTGCCAGCACGGCAGCGATAGGTTCCACGTCAGCGCCCAGTGGTCGCGCAGTTGCGCCAGCACCTTGGCTGTCGGACGCGCACGCGGGGAAGCGCGCGGAAACGGGGGAAGCGGAAGGGGGAAGAGGGAAGGAGAACCGGTGGAAAGGGAGGGGAAGAGATGGGTAAGTAGACAGGTTACGATAGCCACCGATTGTCGGATGCGGGGAGACAAGGGGGGGAGATTAGCGCGGGCAGCGCGGGAGCGCCGGGCGGAGTGCGACGAGAGAACGACGGCAGCGCGACGGCAGCGCGTACCTTGCTTCGAGTCTAGCTGCGACGGGGACCCGTCTCCGTCTCCGCCGGGCGACGCCTCGGATCCCGGAGCCGCTGTCGAGGCGTCTGCCACGAGGCCCGTCCCCGGTTGTAGCATGTCCGACGACGACGCGTCGCTCGCGGGGAGCTCGTCGTCAGCTGCCGTCTCGCTGCCGGCCGACGGAGGCGCGGCGCCGGGTGGTGGGGAAACGACCGACGGAGGGCTTTCGGACGGAGGGCTGGCTTCGGATGGAGGGGCGGAGTGGGGGGGGAGGGGTGGTGGTTGACGGGGGGGCAGCAACAGGAGGAGGTAGATTCCCGTTTCCGTTGCCGTTTCCGTTGCCGTTTCCGTTTCCGTTTCCATTTCCGATTCCGTCTCCGCCAGCACCGCCCGGCAGTGGCTGGCCGTCTGAAGGCGTCGTATCATCTTCCGGCAGTGTTGAATCCTCCTGAGGAGGCACCTGATCATCACCTGGCCCATCTGGGAGCGGACTCCCATCTGGCCCCATTCCGCCCCTCCCCTTGCCCTTGCCCCATCCCCCCCCGCCTTTTCTACCCCCCTGCTTGGGACCCCCGGGGCCTTTTCCGCCTCTTCCGGGGCCGGCGGCAACTGGGAGCGAGAGATCAGGGAGGGTGGTCACAACGGCTAGGAAAGCAACGGTGGCGATTGGCGCGGATTGAGGTATTCGGTACGAGGAGGTGTGGTAGGGGCGAGAGTGTAGGAAGAGGAGGGAGAGGAAGGGGAGGAGGAGGATGTTGAACGACATGAGGCTGTGTAGTGTGACTATATCGGTGGCTCCTACGCGTAGGGTCGGAGAGAGCAGATGGGCGCGGGTTAACGAGAAGGGTGGTGATCGTGGGAGGGACTAGACCTTCTGTTGGAATTATTCGCTAATGCATGCTCAAGAGGTTGTAGCGAGGATGGATCGCAGCTGAAGGAGGAGTTAATAGGTGTCACACAGGATCATGCGATGAGCGGGTGCAGAGATTGCTGAGAGGAGGTTATGACTCGTTGCGACTGCTATAACAGCGAATGAAACCGAGTCACGGTTCATGCAGTCCCTATCGTCCAGTAGTTGTCTCGGTTTTAGGAGATTCGCTCGTTTTCGTGACGATCATTCGCTTCTCGGGTTCTCGGCGGTCGTCAGTCTGCTTTTAAGTATACTTTTCCATCTACGAACTACGAATTACAGCTGGGAACTTGGCTGGCGGCTTCGCGGGTGTGAGTGAGCTGTTTCCGGAACCAAAGTCACTATTGCCACTTCGTAAGACTGACTGTCGCCTCGTAAGGCTGACTATCAAACAGGTCTAAAGCTTGCGCTACGACGCGAATGTGGATGCAACTACGAACAAACACAAGCCAAAGAGTGCTTGTGTGTCTGTTGCCAGAGTCGCATGGGGGAAATGGAGGATCAGAGAGGCATCAGGCACATGAGAGTAGGGTTGGGTAGGGTAAGGTTGGGTTACTTTGGTTTGGGGATGGTTGGGTCGGATATCCGAAAGTGGATGGAATGGCTGACATAATTAGGCGGCCTACCTTGGGTTTGGGGAGAAGCCTAGGCTGGCCCGCCCCCAGTACAAAAATCGACGAGTGGGAGGGTAGGCTAGAGAGTTGACTGTGGTGAGGTGATTCGTTCATGGTTGGTCTCTGGATGCAGTCTGAAGATCTGAGGAGCTTGCCGGAGAGAACACACACGCCGTCAGATCAACCAGCCGCACCAGCTAGCCATGGTCAAAGAGCCTCCTGGATGGCAGGTCCGATCAGGTTAATTCGCAGGGAGGATTCGGGGGACCAAAAGGCGGCAGGAAGGAAACGGAAAAAAACATTACTGTTCACGCGGCACTGTTTTCTTTGGAAAAATGGGGAAGGTACTACAGTTTGCCTCGTCATCACATTCTTCCCTCCCCCCCTCCTCCACTCACTTGCACGATGATGCTACAGACAGAGTCGAGTTTCAAAACTGAAGCCCTAGTAACGTCAATTCGACCTTGCCTGGGACTAAAATACATATAGAATACACGGTCTGGACAAAGCGTGCTTGGCATGTTCCAGCAAGGTATGGACGGTTTCGATCCCTCCGGTCGTTACTGGTCGCTTGCTTGTTTCCACACCGCAAATGCATGAGAAAAGAAACTTGATATAGTTTAGGAGCGGGATCTCACACGACGGACCTCAACGCTTCTGTCTCTTGTGCTCCCTTGTGCTCCAAAAACTTTTCGATTTTGGGGCAGAAACGATGTGGAATGATATCCAGATGCTCCTGGAAAGCACTTCCCCCCCCCCGCCCCTCGTGCTGTCACCAACCAAGTCTTCCTGAAGAACCAAGCAGCAGAATTCACGATACCACCGCAGATGATGCGCGAAACAGCAAGGCACCTGGCCAGCCACCTGCGAAAACCCTCGACACACCTGGGTGGAAACCTGGCTATTAAACCGCTGAGTACGTTTTGCGGCCATCCGTTACTTTCACAACGCTAATTTACCATAAAGGGGTAATTTTTTTACAATATTGAGGTGCTTATGGTGGGATGACTTCCCATGTCAATGAATGAAATTAGAAATGATGCCCCTCATGGGGCATGGACCACCACCAGAAGTGAATCGATATTGAATTATGTTCATAGTAGCTGCAAGTATCCACACCAAAGCTGATCTCGAAGTCGCTCTTGTTGTACTCATGCAGGCACCAATACATTGTACCCATTCCTGACTGTACGCGCATTGCATACACTCTACAGTGTGCTATACATAGTTTACACCGGTACTCTCTGCATATGTGCCGACGCAGTAAAACTGGTTGGGCAGCAGCACATACCGTACCATGTGTGCTACCCACGTATAACCTGCTGTGGTGAACAAGACAACATCCCCTGAAAGAGCCTCTTCTGCCCACCACATCACCTCCATCCATACACCTACAGTACTACCACCACACAGAAACCAGGGCGTGGCGTAGTATCACCAGTACCGTACTCCCCTCAATCCTCCCGATTCTCTCCTTCTTACTCCCCCCACCCTTCCACCTGAGTCACCATCATTCTCATCATCTCCCTCACTCTCTTCACCATCTCCTCCTTCTCCTTCTCCATCTCCCTCAGCTTCTCCTCCCCCTCAGCAATCACTTTATCCAACTCCACACTCGCTCTCTCCTCCTCCCCGACCTCCCTCACCACCCTCACCTCTCTCTCCCTATACTCCTCCTGTAACCTTGCTGTAAGTTCCGCCTTCCCCCGAACCGCCGCCTCTGCTTCGGCCCGGGCCTTCGCCGCCCGAACCTCCAGCTCCTCCGCTTCACAGATCTTCCTCTCTGCATCCCTTTCCACCTCTTCCAACCGCCTCCTCTTCTCCTCCCGCACCTCCTGCACCTCCTTCCGCTTCTCTACAATAACGTCCAGCCTCTCCCTCCGCTCCCTCCGCTTCTCCTCCAAATCTCGTCGCCTCCGTTCCAGCTTCCCAACTATAGCTCCCACCAGTGCCTCCTCCATGCCTCCTTGAATCTCCCCTCCCGCAAACTCCCGGCCTTCACCTTTCACCTTTCCATTCACCATCCCTCTGTCCCCACTCGCCTCCTCGCCTCCTGCCTTTCTCTGCCTCTTCGCCTCCTCATGGCCCATCTCTCCCCCGTTCTCTGCGTCTCTCTTTCGCTCTCTATCTTTTGCTCCTCCCCTGCTCGGATCACCTGCGGAAGCTGTAGTATACGGAGCAGTGGCAGCAGTTTGAAGTGCGGAGGCATTGCCATTGGCTAAGATAGCTCCTGTGGCACCTGAAAGCCCACCTGAACCACCTGAGCCTCTCAAAGAACCAGCACCTGCTGTGGCAGCAGTGCCCCCACTGCCAGTCCCTGCCACTGTACCCTGCTCTGCTGCTTGTCGCCCTGTCTGACTCCTACTTGCTTTGTCCACTGCCCCACTTCCCTCCCCACTCGGCCCTGAACGAACCGTACCAGCAACACCAGCACCAACACCACTTGCAACAGCAGGAGCATGGTTTCTGCCTGGCTGCTCCCTCTGCTCCTTCTGCTCGCCACTACCACCAGCAGCCACACTAGAACCTCGTCCCATAGCCTCCACTCTCCCATTTCCAACCGCCCTCCCAGCACTGCCACCTCCGTCCCCCTCCCCTCCTCGCCCTCCCTCAGGTGCTTTGCAATTCCCACCTGGCCAGACCTTCGCTGGTGCAGCACCATTACCAGCAGCGGCAGCAGCAGCAGTAGCCATACCAGCAGCGGCGGTACCAGCAGTACCACCACCAGCAGCAGTAACCGCAGCAGAAGCAGCAGAGCTCGTGGTATAAGAAACCGCAAGACTGGAGCCCGCTTTCACAGGAACAGGAGGCAACGAAGATAGGCTGGGCGACGAATTGCCTTGTACGGTCGGAGAGGAGGTGGGTCTGAGGGACTGACTCAACCCAGGTGAAGGCGTGCGGGAGAGATGAGGCATGGGGGAGGAGCGGAGATGGAGATGCGAGGGATGATTAGCTGGGCTGTTGGCTGCAGCAGTACCAGTACCCGTTGCAGCAACAGCAGCAGCAACAGTAGGAGAAGCAGCAGCAGCAGCTGTGGCAGAAGTGGTGGCGGAGAGAGGGAGAGATGAAGCAGATAAACCAGTAGCAGGTGCAGGAGCGGTCGAGGAGGGTGGCGAGGGAAGTGGGGGAACTTGGCGAGAGTAGAGATTGTGGTGAGAGGCGAGCAGAGAGGGCGGGAGGGCAGGGAAGGAGTCTCCTCCTGTTGCTGATTTCTTCAGTGTTGGTGGGAGGGGTATCTGAGCGCCGTTGTATATGTTCTGCATGGGTGGATGGATGGATGAACAGAACACAGAGAAAGGTGCAGAAGGAGAGGATGAGCAGAGAGAGAGAGAGAGAGAGAGAACTGGGAGGCACACAAACTCAAGGGAGGCACATAAGGCCAAGCACGCAAAAAGGGAAGAGGGACAGGGAGGGACTGAGCACAGCACACCATCTCAAACCAATCATACCCTCCCATCATACTCCCACTCCCACACCCACACCCACTACCACTTCCACTCCCACTCCCACCCCCACCCTTCACAACACTCCCCATGCCCAGGCATGATAATACCCTCATCGCATATGCACATGAATCCCAGAAAACCCATGCCATTACGCCCCTTCCACATGCACACACAAGCCCAGCCAGTCTTCCCATACCGAGATAGACACGCATGTCTCAAAACCTCAGAAAGCCCATGGCAAAGTGCCCATTCAACATGCACACACGTGACACAAGCCAGTTCCCCCCGTACCCTGAATTCTGGCAGTGGTGGCTGAACAATCCCTGCAATGGCCGACACTCCTCCTCCCCCCAAGCTCCCCACACTGCCCACGCCCAAACCCCCCATACTCCCCACGCTCCCCCCTCCCCTGGGTCCAATCCCCCCAAACCCTGATCTTCCCCCTCCCCCGGCACTTCCGCTTCCCCCTGTCCCTGCCCCCGCTGCACCCGCAGCCCCTGATTTCAGGTGCTTCGAGTCTCTCCTATCCACAGCTGACAGCGCAGCCTTATTCCATGACGCCCCACCTGCCCCTCCGCCCCTGTTTCCCCTGCCCATCACCCCTCCTCCTGCTCCTCCTGCTCCTCCTGCTCCTGCTCCTCCTGCCCCTCCTGCTCCTCCTGCTCCCATTATTCCATACGCTCCTATCTCTGGCTCCCCCAGCAGTCCTAGCTTCTCCGCTATTGTAACCCTCGCCCCTGTTCCCCCGCCCCTTCCCCCTCCGCCTTTTCCTCCCCCTCGCCCCCCCGCTGCCACTGCTTCCCCTGCCACCGCTGCCGCTCCTGCCCCTCCTGCTCCTGCTCCTGCTCCTGGTGCTACTGTCACTCCTGTCACTCCTGCCCCTCCTGCCCCACCCGCCCCATTCATGCCTCTCTCGTCAGGCACAGATACTACAGTCACACACTGTGCTGCTAGGGCCAATCCAAGAGCAGAAGCCGAAACCCTCTCCTCTGTGACTATCCCAGGGGGGAAGGGCAGGCACAGGCCAGGTGGCAGAAGTGGATTGGCTCCCGGAGGCAGGCCTTCTGACACTACCGAAACCGCAGGGAACGAGTGGTTGCCCTGCTGCTGGCTCGATATCCCATGAGAACAACTACCCGGATCGTTATTTGAGCGAAACACGAGATTCGCGTTCGACCCGGGGGTATTGGGTTTATTGTACGGCGGCGCGCTCGACGGAAGAGCGGTGGTGGCAGGGGGATGAGCAGTGGGATTATTACAGCTGCCAGGGGTCGTAAAAGGAGGGCTGGGGCTGCGAGCATGTGTGGTTGAGCCGCTTGGAAAAAGGGTGGAGGGAGGGCTGGGGCTGCGCGCATGCATGGCCGAGCAGGTTGGAAGAAGGGTAAGTGGGGAACTGGAAAGGGCGATAGAGAGGGCGTTAGAGGAGGCAGAGGCACTTGTAGGGCTCTTCTGGGTGTTGTATAGGGTGTACGAGGCCTTCAGAGAGGCGTTTGGTGGGCCGGTATGAGTGGGGGGCCGAGGAGCGGCAGTGGGGGAGAGTGGATTTGAGTTGAAAGCTGAAAATGCCCCAGAGGTTACTGCTTGCCCTGCTGCTCCTTGCTCACCGCCCCCACTGCTAGTCCTGTGCTGTTGGCCTGGTAAGACACCAGCACCAGCAGAACCAGAGGAAGGTCTGCTATTTAACTGCTGATGCTGATGCTGCTGCTGCTGCTGCTGCTGCCGGTGAGCAGTAACGGACGACGCATTGCCACTAGCACCACCCACACCACCAGCACCACCCACACCACCAGTACTAACAGTCACAGCACCAGTACTCGGCACCACAGGCACACTACCATTCCCCCCTCTGCCCCTGCCGGTCCCTAGGAGGGTGGTAGTCCCTGGGCCGAGCTGGTTCCCCTGCAATGCTGCTACCCCTGACCCCTGCTGCACTAATGCCTGTGACTTTCCAGGCGCCTCAAAGCCCCCCTGTAATGCTACCCCTGGCCCCTGCTGCAAGGATGACTGTGCGTGCGCTGAGTGCGTTGAAGGGGAGGAGTTATGGGGCGGAACTGGACCGGCAGCAGGTGAGGTGGCAGGTGCGGTGGCAGGTATGGTGGCAGGTGCGGTGGCAGGTATGGTGGCAGGTGCGGTGGCAGGTATGGTAGCAGGGACGGTAGCAGGTACGGTAGGAGGTACGGTAGGAGGGCTGATAGGAGGGTCGATCTGCATGGGGCTTGGTGACCCAGACGAGGGAGGAGGCTGGCTGGGGAGTGACGGGAGCATGGAGTGCGAGGGAGTGAGAGGAGGAGGAGGAGGAGGATTTGAGTAAGGAGAATGAGGAGCATTCGCAAGTACGAGGGCGCGGGGAGTATGGGAAGGGGGCAGAGGAGGAGGCGGAGTGGAGTGAAGGGGGGGAGGAGGGAAGGAAAGGGGGCTTTTGCCTGCAGCAAGCATAGTGGCCACGTGCCTGCGCTCTGATGTGTGTGGGGGGGAGGGAGAACAAAACGGCAAGAAGAATCGATTAGTCAATCTTCAGTCAATTTCTGTATAGTGATTACACTCGCCTCAAAAAGCAAGCACTGATTTGGCCACGTGCATTCGCTTTGATTTGTGGAAAAAAAAATCTCAAACCCCCTCCCTCTTCCCCTCAGCCGTGTTTCAGGCTCGGCCCACGCCCTGTCCCTTTCCCCTACAGCATTTCCCCTGCGCCCTTCCCCTTTCCCCTGCGCCCAGAAGGACCCTTCTCCCCCAACACACCACCCTTCCCTCCGCCCGCCCTCACCTTGCACGCCGAAGCAGGCGCGAAGCTCCCCCACCACCTTGTTCACCCCCTCATTACTCTGCATCACCGCAGTCAACCGCTCCTGCAGCCGCCGGTACGGCTCGCACCACTCTGCACCGCGCGTCACCCTCACCACGCGCGCCATCTCCTCGCTCAGCTTCCCCATATCCTTCTTCTTCACCCCTGCACTCGTCGTCAGCATTTCTCTGAACAGGTCCCACATAGCACTAGTATAACCGCACAGGGGGCACACGTATTGCATACAATCTGGCACGCGCGCACCCGTTCCCCCACCCCCTGCAAACGCCCGCTTCCCTGCAGGCGCGGGTTGCCCCTTCCCCCCGCTTTCCGGACTCCCCAGCGCGTTCGCCCCTGCGCCCATCCGTGCTCCTGCGCCCACCCCTGTCCCTGCGACCGCCCCTGCTCCCGCACCTGCGCCTGCGGCCGCCCCTGTGCCTGCGCCTGCGCTAGGAAGGGGGGACGCGGGGCTCCCCCCTTCCTCTCCGCCAGCGGCGGACGCGCTGGGCGCGGCGTCACTGTCCGCGCGGCTGGCGCTGCCGTTGGGTGAAGGGGGCGGAAGTGGACTGGGCGGTGCTGGGCTGGGCGGAGGTCGGATGGGCGGAGGTGGGTTGGGCGGAGACGGGTTGGGCGAAAGTGGGTTGGGCGACAGTGGGTTGGGCGAAAGTGGGTTGGGGGGAGATGGGTTAGGCGGAGGTGAGTTTAGCAACCCTATAGCACCTAAAGACCCTGCTGCATCCGGTTCTGCCTTGACCTTGGCCTTACTCCCCTCGATCACACCACTCTCCACCTTAACACGCTTCCCTCCTCCGTTACTCTCACTCCCCTTCCGCGCATCCCTGTCTTGATCACTACCCGAAGCAACACCCGCGCCCGCACGTGCACCTGTATCCTTCTCCTCCACCCTTCCCCTTTTCGCCCCCTCAACAGCTTCTGCATCCTGACCAGTAACAACGGAAGCTGTATCTCCAGTCGTCGACGCTGCTTTCTCAGGGACTGCCGCTCCTCCCGTTTCTCCCCTTCCTCCCCCTCCCACCGCTCCGCCCTTTCCTCCCGCGCCTACCGCCGCTACCGTTTCTGGGGGACCCGTGAGCGCACTTTCCGCCTCCTTTTCCGTCAGAACCCGCACCAATCCGCGCTCCAAAGCGCCGTCCGTATGCACGTAACAGCCGCACTTGAGCGACGGGCACTGGAGCCACCGCCCCGTCTTAGTCTTATTACGAAACCTGTCTATAACGAGGTCCTCGTCGAATTTCTTGCACAGCGCGCACATGCACGCTCTGCAGTACCCGTCTCCGCCTAGCGGGCAGCAGCAGTGCAGGCACCTGTCTCCTAATAAGATCTCTACCAGGTCGCCAATAGTGCGCTTCGAGTTCTTCTGCAGGTATAGCGTCCTTAGGGAGTACCGAATGGCGATTAATATCTCGAGGTAATTCGCGAAGCTGTCTCTAAGAGCCTTTCTCTGCGAGGCCAAGTGTACTTCTAGATCCGCCTGTAGCTTCAACACTCTATCGCATATCGGGGATACGAATCCGTTCGACCCGCCCTTCCCGGCCTTCTCCTTATTCGCGACTATCACACACGTGAGACACCCGCGCCCGCCGTAAATCCCGCCTAAGCTACTACTCCCGCCTCCCACCCTCCCGTTGCCCCCGCCCGCGCCGCCGCTACCATCCATGAGTGCTCGAAACTCCTCCTTCAACCTCAGCATCGTCTCGTCCTGCCCTGCGCGTTTCATGCGCTCCTTAATCGCGCGCACGTCGCCTCGAACTAGATCCTCTAGCTCGAACGGCTTTACTGGCTCCGGCGGGGGCGGAGGCGCTTTATTGGGCGCTGGTATCGGGCCGGACTTTGCCGCGGATGTGCCTGCGGGCTTGGCGGACGAGGATGACGGCTCGGTTTTAGACGCGGCTGCTGCTGCTCCTGGTTTAGGTGCTGCTGCTCCTGTTTTAGCCGCTGCTGCTCCTGCCTTAGTCGCTGCTGATAATGCCTTAGGCGCTGATGCTGCTGTCTTAGGCGCTGCTGCTGCTGCTGCTGAACCCTCTGCCACTCTTGGCTTCACCTCCGTTGCAATCGTCGCGTTTGCACCTGACCTCCCATCACCAGTCAACTTTACCGCGCCAGTTGACTGAACCCCCCCAGCGGCTTTTTCAGTTGAAGGCTTTGCGTCAGTCATCTGAGAATCCCCCCCGGACTTCCCCCCGCTCGCTGGCGCGGCTGCGACCGCTGCTGCAGCCTTTCCCCCCGCTGCGCGCGCAGGAGCAGGCGCAGCTGCAGGGACCGACAGAGGCACAGGCGCAGGTGCAGCCGCACCTGCAGGCGCAGGCGCAGGCGGAGCAGCGTCAGGGCGGGAAGTTACAGGCGGCACCTCATGCGCTAGCAGTTCTGACACTGTACGAGGCACGGGGGGCGCCGCGGAAGCAAGCGCGGGGACGGGGGTGGGGATGGGGGCGGGGCCAGCGGGGGCGGGGGCGGCCGGTCGTGGCGGAACGGTTATCCGCACCATCGCCCCGGGTGTGGGACGCGGGATCGAGCCTGATTGCGCGGATGACGGCGCGGCAGGGAGAGTCGGCGCAGCGCCGGCGGGTTTTGGCGCTGCCCAAGATCGGCCAGCTAGAGGTGCAGCAGGGGGAGCTGCGGGGGATGGTGTGGGACGTCCCACGGGGGCTGGCGCGTAGGGTGCTGCGGGGGAAGGTCCTTGGGACATTGGGGGAGGGGCAGCGGGAAACGTTTTAGTGGGCGCTGGGGAAGGTGGCGGCACAGAGGGCACCGCTGATTGCGTAGCTAACGATATCGGCGCAGCTGCGGGTTTCGCGGCGGTGGGCGGAAGTGCGGCAGGGGGCACCGCCGCGGGAGAGGCTGCGCGCGGTACTCCCGGGGCTGGCGCCGAGGGAGTTGCTTGCGGAACTGCGGGTGTTGCAGCTTGCAACGGTTTCCCAGGCGCAACTGATGCCGGACAGGACGCAACTGCATGTGCTGATGCTGGGGATCCATCAGTCGCTGATCGCGCCGTCGTTGCTAGTGGAGGCCGGGTGGTGCCAACTGCAGGCGTCGGCGCGGGGGGCACGGCTGCGGGAGGTGGTGCAGTGGCGGGCACTTTGGGAGCAGTTGCGGGTGATTGATTAGAAAAGGGCGATGGTGGTTTTGCGGCTGGTGCTGCTGCTGCTGGTGCCGCTGCTGCTGGTGCCGCTGCTGCTGGCGCCACTGATGCCAATGTCACTGCGGCTGGTGCTGCTGCTGGTGCAACTGCGGCTGGTGCCGTACCAGCCGCACCCGCCGAACCAGCCGCTACAGCTCCGGTTGCTGCTGCGACTGCGGGCGCTGGGGTGACAGCAGCAGGTGATCCTGTAGCAGTTGATACTGTAATTACTGCTCTTGAGGCCACGACTGCGCGGGACGGCGCGGGGGAGACTGACGGTGCGACAGTTGCCGTTGGCGGTGATGCTTTTGGAGCCCCTGCGGGTGCTGGTGGTGATGCAGCATTTGGTGTTGCAGTTGGTGCTGAAGAAGAAGCTACGGGTGAAGGTAACCCGCCTTTGGGTGTCGCAGCGGCTGGTGGTGTCGCCGGAGCGGCTTGTGTCGCAGCGGCTGCTGGTGTCGCAGAGGCTGCTAGTGTCGCAGAAGCTGCTGGTGTCGCGGCGGCTGCTGGTGTCGCAGCGGCTGCTGGTGTCGCAGCGGCTCTAGGTGCTGACACAGCCGCTGGTGTTTGAGTGACAGGTGGTTTTGCAATTGGAAATTCAAGCTTAGGCGCGACAGATTGTGCCGCCACGGGCGGAGGCTGAAGCGCGGGGGAGGGCGCAGCCGGAGCGGGCGCAGGCGTGGAGGCGGGAAGCGGTGACGAGGCTGATGCCTGTGAAGAGATCGACGGTGCACCTGCCGCGATTGGTGCAGTCGTTTGCGGTGCGAGTTGCGCGGGAACAACGGAGACAACGGCGGTAGGAGATTGGGTTGCAACCGAAGACCCGCCAGACTCCTTCGCGCTGGAAGCAGGAGGGGTCAACTTGGCTGATGAACCATCATCCATCGCATCGAGATAAGTAAGGAGAAAAACCAACAGTTCGGATTCGTTCGAAAAGAAGTCTTTTAGTAAAGGATGGGTCCGGGACGCATCGACTCTGTGATAGTGTCTGGATCTGCACTCACTGCGCACGGCTTTGCTAGATGATCAAGAGTTACCTGCCTGGGGTTAGACGAGCCAGTCAGAGCTGTCCTAATACAGTCATCATCCAACTTCCTAAACTCCAACCCCTTTCCCTCTCTCAGCTGCTTGCAGGTCCACCAAGAGAATCCAGGCCGACCGCGGACCATCTTAGCCGTTCGTCGTTCATCAACATCTTCAAATCTACGGCCTCGCTGTCTCGGTTGCAGAAAGCTCTCAAGGATGCTGGCTTGGACGGACACACTGAAGAGGTTCCCGAATCCCGAGGTTCCAACAGCTCTGGGTCCGCCGTGACACTGGCAGGCGAGGCGCGCCAGTTTGGGCAGATCAATGCCGAACCTGGAGATCCCAAACCTAGAGACTACTGGTTTGTGGTGCCCAAGGAAATTGTTTTCTTTGTGCAGGTTATGGGAAGCATGACTATCGAGTTTGAGTTTCCGACCGGCAAACATTATGATTTTCGTGAATGAGGATCTCAATCTGCACTCTAGATTTTCGTGAATGAGGATCTCAAATGCTCCTCGACACGCTGCTAGATTTTACTCAACTCGTCCTTCCTTCATTGCCCTTTTGGCATCCCTTTTGCAGCCTAGTCGTCCTCCCGTGCGACCTAGGCGTTCTCGTGCACGGGCCCGCCCAAGTGCCGGCAGCCTTCGTTACTATCGCACACGGCGTCATTCGCGCGCTGTCATCCGCTCGCCCGCGACTTATCGCCGCTCCAGCGACAAGTTAGTCGTCACTGTCTCGCAACTCAGCTAACCGCATTTCAGTTAACCGCGCTCACTTAACCGTTCAGTCAACCGAGTTTACCGCGCTCAGTCAGCTGCATTCAGTTAACCGCGCTCACTTAACCGCGTTCAGTCAGCCGTATTCATTTACCTGCATTCACATAACCGCATCCTTTCAACCGTAACCCTCTCCTATCTGCGTTCGCCAAGAAGCCATCAGTCATTCGTCGTCGCTTACGAAGGATAGAGAATTGCTCGTCGCTATCGCCGCTGTCGCTAAGCAGCGAATATCGTGAGGGACCGACGAAGACCTTTTACCCTAGCTCTGAGTGTCGTGGAAACGGTGCGCTCTTGCTTGTTCTCTTGCCTGACCGCACCCGCATGGCTCTTTAGCGCGTTTCGCGACTCGAAATTGAAGGCCGTGCTTGCTTGTTCTCTCACCTGAAGGAACCGCTCCCCATCCCACAGCACCGTACGCAGGTCGTGCGGCTGCCGTCGCCGCTTCTTTGGCTCCGCGTGGGCGCAAGGCGCTCCGCTGCTCCGCGGGCAAGCGCGAGCGGAAGGTCCTGCGGGGAAGAGACGGCGGAAAGTGCGGAAAGGGGGAGATTTTACCCCTGCCACGAGGCGCGTTTAGGGTTACCGCATTCTTAGGGTTAGCGCAGGGTTGACGCAGCCTTACAGTCCGTTTAGGGTTAGCGCGTTTCTGAGACAGGGTGGGATGGAGGAAGAGAGTGGGGGTGGAGGAACGCTGAGGGTGACGGGTGAAGATAGTCAAATACCAGTGTTGCAAGGACGGGGAGGTGAGGTTGGGGAGGGTAAGGAGAGCAAAGAGGGAAAGGAGGGAAAAGAGGGTAAGGTTGGTGCGATGGGTGAAGAGGGATGTGAGAGGGGTGGAAGGGCAGAAGGAGAGGGAAAGGGAGAGGCTTTGGAAGCGAGTGAGAGTGTAGTTAGAGGAGAGGAGGAGAAGGAGAAAGAGGAGGCAGTGAGGGAGGTTAAGGCCGGGAAGGATGGGGGCAAGGAGGACGGGAGGGAGGAGGGGAAGGAGGAGGGGAAGAAAGAAGGGGAGGAGGAGGGGAAGGAGGAGGGGAAGAAAGAAGGGAAGGAGGAGGGGAAGGAGGAGGGGAAGAAAGGAGGGAAGGAGGAGGGGAAGAAAGAAGGGAAGGAGGAGGGGAAGGAGGAGGGGAAGAAAGAAGGGAAGGAGGAGGGGAAGGAGGAGGGGAAGAAAGAAGGGAAGGAGGAGAGGAAGGAGGAGGGGAAGAAAGAAGGGAAGGAGGAGGGGAAGGAGGAGGGGAAGAAAGAAGGGAAGGAGGAGGGGAAGGAGGAGGGGAAGAAAGAAGGGAAGGAGGAGGAAAAGAAAGAGGGGAAGGAGGAGGGGAAGAAGGAGGAAAAGGGGGAGGGGAAGGAGGACGAGAAGGCGGAGGGAAAAGAGGAGAGGAGGAAGGAGGGGAAGGAGGAGGGGAAGGAGGAAAGGAGGGTGGAGGAGAAAGAGGAGAGAAAGGAGAGTAAGGAGGAGGAGAAGGAGGAGGGGAAGGGGGAGGCGAATAAGGAGGGGAATCCGAAGGAGAAGGAGGAGGGGAATCCGAAGGAAAAGGAGGAGGGGAAGGAGGAGGGAAAGGAGGAGGGAAAAGGGGAGGGGAAGGAGGGGGGGAAGGGGGAGGGGAAGAAGGAGGGAAAGGAGGCGGTTGGAGGAGCGGGAGAGGGTAGTGAGAGAAAGGCAGATGAGAGTGTTGAGAAGGGACGTAGTGAGAAGGATGGAGCAGTTACAGAGGAAGAGAAGAAGAGGAGAGAGGTAGAGGAGAAGAAAAAAGAGGTGGAAGAAAAGAAGAAGAAAATAGAGGAAAATAAGAAAGAGGTGGAAGAGAAGAAGAAGAAAATAGAGGAGAAGAAGAAAGAGGTAGAAGAGAAGAAGAAACAGGTAGAGGAGAAGAAGAGTCATGCAGGGAAGGAGGAAGGGGGAAAGGGGAAGAAGGAGGAGGAAGGCGAGAAGGGAGAGGAAGGGAAGCAAAACGAGGAAGAGAGAAAGCAAAAGGAAGAGAAGTCGAAGAAGGGGAGGGAAGACGAAGGAGGGCGCGAAGCAAGCTTGGAAGATAAAACCAGTGAAGAAGGGAAAGTCAAAGGAGCAGGGAGATCAGGAAGAGCAGGAGAGAAAGATCTCGCCAGCCCCAAAAGCAAGACAGCAGCTACTGCCTCCTCCTCCCCTCTTTCTCCTCCTCTTTCTCCTCCTTTCCCTCCCCTCCTGGACGTCTGTATCGAAGAGCTGAAGAAGAGAGGCAGCAGTGGTATTCCCCTCCGCACGCTCGCTCTCTCTGTTGCCTCCAGGTGCTCCGAGCTCTGTGGAAAACACCTGAGAGGCTCCGCTGCTGCCAGTGAAGTGCGCCGGAAGCTCCAGGGCAGAGAAAATGTTTTCGAGATCGGGCAGGGACCGGATGAGGTGGTCCGATTGGTGGATACGGAGGCGAAGCTACCCAAAAGGAAGAGGAAGGGGGAGGTTGCTGGCGGGGTGGTAGGTGAGAAGGTTGGGGAGGGCGGGGAGGCGGGGAAAGGGGATGGAGGTGAGAGGGAGAGGGTTGTGGATGATGCAGAGACGAAGGTTGGGGGCACTGGGGGCAAGGAGGATAAGAGTGGAACTGCAAAGGAGGGTAAGGGTAAGGATACAGATGCGGATAGGCAGCAGCAGCAGCAGCAGAATCAGCAGCAGAAGCAGCAGCATCAGAAGCAGAAACAGCAGAAGAAGAAAGAGCAGGAAGGTAGGAACAAGCAGGAAGAGGGAAAGGAAGGCGAGTTTGACCCGCTGTTAGCTATCAGCAACTCTCCCAAAGGGGCAAGGCGAGGGGCAGCCAGAAAGAAGCCCCTAGAGTTGCTGTTGAGAGCGGGGGCTTCAGGGGGGGTGGAACAGGGTGGGGCGCACAGGGAACCAGGGGGGTTGAGCCGACTGAAGCAGCAGCAAGGGAGAGAGGGGAGAGAGGGGCAGGGGAAGGTTGGGGAGGGTGATGGGGGGAAGTTGGTCGGGGAGGAGGTGGAAGGTGGTGTGGGGAAGGGGGAAGCTGATGTGAGGAAGGGGGAAGGTGGTGTGGGGAAGGGGGAAGTTGATATGGGAAAAGGGGAAGGTGGAGTGGGAAAGGGGGAAGTTGATGTGGGGAAAGGGAAAGGTGGTGTGGGGATGAGAGGTGCGGGCGGTGGTGGGAGAAGGGGTAAAGGGAGAGGAAGAGGGGGCGGTGGCGGGGGAAGTGCGATTGCAGTGCTGCTGGAAACAGGGGAGGCGGGTGGCAGAGATGGGGGACGCAGGAAGACGGACAGGGGGGAAATGGACGGGGGGGAAATGATCGGGGGGAAGACGGATGGGGGGGAAATGGACGGGGGGGAAATGATCGGGGGGAAGACGGATGGGGATAAGTTGGAGAAGGGGAAGAAGGTTGGGGGGAAGGCGGAAGGCGGAAGGACCGATGGGGAGAAGGTGGAGGGGGAAATGACGGATGGGGAGAAGACCGACGGGGGGAAGACGGATGGGAGGAAGACGGACGAGGGGAAGAGAGAGGGTGGAAAGACGGATGCGGCGGATGAAGAGAAGAAAGATGGGGAGGATACTGCTGTTGACCTGCAGAGTGATTCTACTGATGCTGCTGGTGCTGGTGCTGGTGGTGATGGTGGTGGTGATGGTGGTGATGGTAATGGTGGTGGTGGTGGTGGTGATGGTGGCGGTGATGCTGCTGCTGTTGTGGTGGATAGCAGCAGTGAGGATGCAGTGGAGGTGATTGGTGGGAAGCGGAAAGGGAAGGGGGCGAAGGGGAAAGGGAGAATGGGCACAACAAAGAGCGGGAAGCGGGGTAGGAAAGGGGAGGAGAAGCAGAAAGGGAAGAAAAAACAGGAAGAGGAGGAAGTGGAGGAGGTAGAGGAGGAGGAAGAAGAGGAGGAAGAAGAGGAGGAAGAAGAGGATGAGGAGGAAGAAGAAGAGGAGTGGCAAGCAGGAGAAGCGAGGGAGAAGGGCAGAAGGCAGAAGAGCCAGGGGAAGGAGCAGCAGAAGGGGCCTGGTAAAGGCAAGACTGCAGGGACGGGTGCAGACGGGAAGGGGCCGACAGCGGGGTTGAAAAAGGGGTTGAAAGAGACGTCAAAAGAGACGTTGAAAGAGACGTCGAAAGAGGTGCAGGTGAAGGGAGGTGTGAAGAGGAACGCAAAAGGGGATGCGAAGGAGGATGGTAAGGGGGATCCGAAGGGGGATGGGAAGGGGAATGGGAAGCGAGGCGCAAAGGCAGAAGAGGTTGCTGTTCCAGTCATCACCAGCCCCAGGAGAAGAAGCAAGGCTGTTCCAGTCCGTGCTGCTGCTGCTGCTGCTGCTGCTGCTGCTGCTGCTGCCTCCCCCACCGCGCCCTCTTCACCCCTCGCCTCTCCCACCGCTGCTTCTCCCTCTGCTGCCAAGAGGAGGAGGAGCGGTGGGAAGGAGGCAAGTGTGGTGGAGACGAGGGGTGCTGGGGGAGGGGCAGGAGAAGGCAGCAAGGGCGGCGGTAAGGGCGGCAGGAGCAGCAAGAGGGGCAAGGCGGCGCAGGGACGTGGAACGGGCAGTGCTGGTAGCAGTGGCGAGGAGGAGGACGAGGAAGGGGGTCGTGCTTCTCCTGCTTCTCCTGCTCCTGCTGCTGCTCCTGCTGCTCCTGCTGCTCCTGCTGCTCCTGCTGCTCCTGCTGCTTCTCCTGCTCCTGCTGCTGCAGTGGTGGTGGCTGCTAGATCAGGCAGGCCCCACCGTGCTGCTGCTGAGAAGGCCAGCCAGTTGGGTGCAGCCGTGCCGTCCTCTCCGTCTACCCCAAGCAAAGCCATTCGGGTATGATCGAGCTTGACCAAACACATAAAGGAGGGTCGAATTTTGAGTGTGCTGCAGCCTTGACGTCTCATCTCACCAGCTCTTTAAATAGTTGCCTTGCCTTTACCTTTCACCAACAGGTAAAGCTTCTCTTTGTAACGGGGGCAGACCTTGAAGAGCGAATCTCGTTGGTGCCTTCCCCCCTCTCCTACCCTTTGCTGTCTCTCCCCCTGTGCGTGTGCGCCGATCCCACCACCAGGGCATGAACCGCATGTGCCACCAGTGCCAGCGCAATGACAAGGAGGAGGGCGTGGTGTACTGCCAGCGAGTGCCCACCCACCGCTTCTGCCTCCCCTGCATCCGCCAGTGGTGCTCCCTCTCCCCCTCCCCCTCCCCCTCCCCCTCCCCCTCCTCCCCCTCCCCCTCCCCCTCCCCCTCCCCCTCCCCCTCCCCCTTTCACTCCCCCCTTCCCCTACCTTTCCCCACTCCCCGCTTTGTTCCCCACCGCGCACACCCTCCACCCCCCCTCACCCCTTTTCTCTCCTGCACTATCCCGAGCATTCTTTCTGTTGCTGTTGTGCTGCCTTGTTTGCTTTGGTTCCTTCCATCTTCCTATTGCCCCCCCCTCCTTCTCCCTCGCCTCCTTGTCATTCCACCCTCAGTCTCTCTGTGCGCATATCACACCTTTCTCCCGCTTCCTTTTGTTTCTCCCCGAAATTCTCTTCATCGCCCTCCCTCCCTCTTCCTCTCTTCATCCTCCTCATTGTGACCTCCACCTTGCATGCATGAGGGATGAGGGATTAGTGCCTCATTGTGACCTCCGCATCCTTGTAGGAACTAATCCCTCATCCCTCATGCATGCATGGATGGTTGTATGGGTGCGCACGTATATGGGTGCATGGGTGTTTGGCGATGGATGCATGCATGCATGTACGCGTGCATGGGTGCACACTTGGATGCACGTGGGTGCGCATGGGTGCATGCATGTGTGCATGCGAGCAGGTATCCCATATACACAGTGGAGGAAATAATCGGCTTCTGCCCCAAGTGCCGTGGCAACTGCAACTGCAAGACCTGCCTCCGCACCCGCATCCCTGCACCCTATGTCAGTGCCCTGTGTGTCTGCCCTGCATGCCCCATGCCATGCCTTTTCTAAGTCGACTGACAAACAAGCAAGCAACTGTGTTATTGCCGTTCCATGTCCCATGTCCCATGCCATGCTATCCTTGCCATGCTGTCGCTGATCTCCCATTCCCCTCTTTCCTCCTCTCCCTCCCCCTTCCGCCTTATTTCGTGCACCCTTTCCCCTCCTCTCTCCACGCCACCAGCGATCGGCAGGGGCATCGGCAGAGGAGCGAGCGGGCATGGCACGCCGAGGTGACTTTTGAGTCGACTCAAAAGTCTCCCCCTTCCGCCCTGTTTCCTGCACCCTTTCCCCCCCTCTCCCCACGCCACCAGCGATCGGCAGGGGCTTCACCAGAAGAGCGAGCGGGCATGGCGTGCCGAGTGCTGCGCTATGTGACTCCCTTGCTGGCTGATCTGGTGCAGCAGCAGGAGGACGAGACGAGGCTGGAAGCTGCACTCCAGGGCAAAGACCCGCAAGGTAGGATGCGATGGAATCACATGGGGGCGGGTTGGGGGAGTAGCTGGGCGGAGTGGGGAAGGGAGGGGGCATGTATGTGCAGCAGCAGCAGCAGCAGCAGCAGGAGGAGATGAGGCTGGAAGCAACGGCTCAAGTCAGGGCTTGTGGGTTGGGATGTAGCAGTCACGTGGGGCCGGCTAGGTGTGTTTGTGCGTGTGGGGTGGCCGGGGGGAAGGGATGGAGAAGTACTGTTGTGTCATGTCATGCACGCATCTATCTGCACGGCACGTGTGGCCTTGCGGACAATCGTTGTGCGCGCGTTGGGTGGCGTCTTGTGCTGTTTGTGCACAGCTTTACCTGCTCAGAAGTACAGTCGTGTCATGTCATGTCATGTCATAGACGCATCTATCTGCTCCTCCGCATGCATGGCCTTGCGGGCGTTTGTTGTGTGCGCATGTTGTGTGTTGTGTTGTGTTTTGTTGTGTTGTGCACATGTGTCGCATTGTGCGTGATGCGTACGTGCGCGTGTGTGTGTGCGCGCGCGTGTGTGTGTGCGTGTGTGCGTACGTGCGCGTGTGTGTGTGCATGCGTGCGTGCGTGCGTGCATGCGTGCATGCGTGTTTGCGTGTGTGTGTGGCTCCCTGTCTCAGAGGTGGATATCCAGCGAGTGAAGATTGCAGTAGACGAGCGCATCTTCTGGTCAGCACCGCACTCCCTGAACTGAATCCATTTGATGCAGTTGTTCTTTTCTTTCAAACCCCATAGGCAATGCCCTTCTTTCGTCTTTCGTGACTGCTCTTATGTTCATATGCCAATGTTCACATGAAAGTCACTCCAATTTCCACATGTCTCTTCTTGCTTCCTCTTCTGTGTCCTTCTGTTTCTCCCCGCTCTGTGATTTTCTATTTCTTCACCTTTTCCAGAAGCCAGTTCTTCTTTCTCTGGTCTTCCTCCTCTTGTTTTTTTTTTCCTGCCCCACAAAACTTTCCTGCACCTGCCCACAACAGCTCACACTGCCAGACGTCCATCATTGACCTTTTCCGCAGCTGCCCGGACAAGGACTGTGGTTTCGACCTCTGCCTTTCCTGCTGCAGAGATTTGCGGGCAGGGAAGGTACCCCCAGGGGAGGTGTTTTCTGAAGAGTCTGAGGGAGGAGATGGGGAGGAGGAGGGAGAGGAAGAAGGGAGAGGAGAGAAGGAGGGGAGAGAAGATGAGGTTGAAACCGAGGGAGGAGGGGGAGGGGGAAAAGGAGGGGTGAAAGGCAAGAAAAGAAAGGGTTCTTTGGGGTTAGGAAAGGCGGGCAAGAAAAGGAAGGCTGGCAGTGGTGGTGGGAGTGGGTCGACCAAGGGAGGCTCTGTGGCAAGTATGCTAATGAAAGAGCTAGGATTGTCTGCGGAATCACAAGAAAAAGGTGGTGCTGGTGCGGTTGATGCTGCTGTTGATGCTGATGGTGGGGAAGGTGGGGATGGAGGGGATGGAAGCGGTAGGAAGGCGAATGGGGTGAGAGTTCATTGGGTTGCTGATGCTTCGGGGGCGATTCGATGCCCTTCTGTGCGGTGCAGAGTGGTGGATGGGGGCAAGGGGGAGGCGAATGAGGAGAGGAAGGAGCGTGGGGAGGAGGGAGGGAAGAACGGGGAGAAGGCATGGGAGGAAGTGAAGAAGGGCAAGCAGGAGAGAGGGGATGGGGAGGAGGGGGGTCGGGTGGATGGGGATGGAGCAGCGGCTGGTGTTTTGGTCGCAGATGCTATGGAAGTGGAGGGTGGTGTATCGGGTAAGAAGGTGGAAGGGACGATGGGTGAGGAGGAGGAGGTGGGCAAGGAAGCCGGTGGAAAGGAGGAAGAAAAGGTGGAAGGGAAGGTGGAAGGGAAGGTGGAAGGGAAGGCGGAAGGGAAGGTGGAAGGGAAGGCGGAAGGGAAGGTGGAAGGGAAGGCGGAAGGGAAGGTGGAAGGGAAGGCGGAAGGGAAGGTGGAAGGGAAGGCGGAAGAGAAGGCGGATGGGAAGGTGGATGGGAAGGCGGATGGGAAGGCGGAAGAAAAGGTGGAAGAGTGCAAGCAGGGAGAGCAGTGGGAGAGCAGGAATAGGCTGGTGCTGTGCAGTGTGAGGGGCCGCGGGTGGCTGGAAGGGCTCCTTCGTCAGTGTGAGCAGCATATGGGGGGTGGCGAAAAGGGAGAAGGGGAGAAAGGAGAAGGGGAGAAGGGAGAAGGGGAGAAAGGAGAAGGGGAGAAGGGAGAAGGGGAGAAAGGAGAAGGGGAGAAGGGAGAAGGGGAGAAGGGAGAAGGGGAGAAGGGAGAAGGGGAAAAGGGAGAGGGGGAAAAGGAAATGGGGGAGAAGGAAGAGGGGGGAAAGGAAGAGGGGAAGAAAGGAGCAGGGGAGACGGGACAGGGGGAGAAGGGAGAGGGGGAAAAGGGAGAGGGGGAAAAGGGAGAGGGGGAAAAGGAAATGGGGGAGAAGGAAGAGGGGGGAAAGGAAGAGGGGAAGAAAGGAGCAGGGGAGACGGGACAGGGGGAGAAGGGAGAGGGGGAAAAGGGAGAGGGGGAAAAGGAAATGGGGGAGAAGGAAGAGGGGGGAAAGGGAGAGGGGAAGAAAGGAGAAGGGGAGAAGGGACAGGGGGAGAAGGGAGAGGGGGAAAAGGGAGAGGGGGAAAAGGGAGAGGGGGAAAAGGAAATGGGGGAGAAGGAAATGGGGGAGAAGGGAGAGGGGGGAAAAGGAGAGGGGAAGAAAGGAGAAGGGGAAAAGGGAGAGGGGAAAACGGAAGATGGGGGAAAGGGAGAGGGTAAGAAAGGAGAAGGGGAGAAGGGAGAGGGGAAAACGGAAGATGGGGGAAAGGGAGAGGGGGAAAAGGTCGAGCAGGAAAAGGGAGGCGTGGAAGAGACGAAAGAAGAGGAGGAGAAAGGAGGAGTGGAGGTAGGCAGGGAGAACGAGGTAGTTGTGGGTAAGGCAAGTATGGATGTAGCAAGCAGTGCAGGGATGGGGTGTGGGGTGTGCGAGGACAAATTCTCACACATGCACCGACTCATGCTGGCCCTTGCTTCTGTCTGGAGTGATTTACAGCGCAAGCGGAACGAGAGTGGGATAACATATGAGGAGGATGGGAGTGGTAGGGAGGAAGCAGGGAAGATCAAGGGGGAGGAGGACCGAGATGAGCAGAAGCAGGGAGAAGGGGAGATTGATTTGGTCGAGGAGGAGAAGGGCTGCAGTAGCATCAAACCGTCCGTTGCTAGTGATGCTGCTGCTGATGCTGCTGCTGCCCCTGCTGCTGCCCCTGCTGCTGCTCCTGCTGATGGTGTTGCTGTTGCTGCTGTTGCTGCTGCTCCTGCTCCTGCTAATGATGCTACTGCTCTTCCTCCTCCTCCTGCTCCTACTACTTCTCTTGTTGCTTCTGCCACTGCCACTGCCACTGCCCCTCCTCCTGCTCCTTCTGCTGCTGCTGGCGATTCTCCCCCTGATACCTCCTCTTCACATCTCTCCCACTGGCTGGACCTGTCCTTCCCCAAAGCCCTTTCTCTCTTCAAACACTTCAAAACCGCTCTCAACCGCGAATGCCACTCCAACAGCCTCCTCTGGGCATCCTGCCGTCCGGGCAGCTCCGACAATTTCCTCTTCTGCCCGACCCTGCCTTGGCCGAGGACAGAAGCAGAGGAGGGAGAGGGGGAGAAGAAAAAACCGGTAGATGCGAAAACAGCAGAGGGAAGTGAGGAAGCTGGAAAAGAGGGGAAGGAGGAGGAGGAGGAGGAGGGGCGAGATGAGACGAAGTTGGTGGCGCATTTTCAGCGGCACTGGGAGCGTGGAGAGCCGGTGGTGGTACGGCAGGTGTTGGATCTAAGGCATGGGCTCAGCTGGGAGCCTCTGGTCATGTGGAGGGCGTTTAGGGAGACGACTCCTGGGGCGCAGATGAGTGAGAAGACCAGCGTTGTCGCCATTGACTGCCTTGACTGGCTCGAGGTGAGGCGCAGGCAGGGCTGAGTCAGGCTCGATGATTGACTACTGGTCGGGCCACATGCACGGCTCCTGCGACGTCTCAAAAGCCCCCCCTTCCTCCTTCCCCTGGCCATCCGTGCTTCCCTTCCCTTCCTTCTCCCTCCCAATCCCCCCGCCCTCAGGTGACTTTTGAGTCGACTCAAAAGTCACCTCGTTGAGTCGACTCAAAAGTCACGACGTCTCAAAGGCCCCCCCTTCCTCCTTCCCCTGGCCATCCGTGCTTCCCTTCCCTTCCTTCTCCCTCCCAATCTCCCCGCCCTCAGGTGGAGATCAACACGCGGCAGTTCTTCGAGGGGTACTGGTCGGGGCGCATGCACGGCTCGTGCTGGCCGGAGCTGCTGAAGCTGAAGGACTGGCCGCCCGCCGCCTTCTTCCACGTGCGCCTGCCCCGCCACGGCTCCGAGTTCATCAACGCCCTGCCCTTCCACGCCTACCCCAAGACACTCTGACACTTCCACTTCAACCCTCTTCCCCACCCCACTTTCTCCCCCTCTCCCTCTCCTCCTCCCTTCGTTCTTCCCCGTCCATCTGCCCCCTCTCCCGCCTTCCTCCCCCCTCCTTCTCTTCCCCCCCCACCCCATCCCCTCAGGTGGAGATCAACACGCGGCAGTTCTTTGAAGGCTACTGGTCCGGCCGCATGCACTCGTCGTGCTGGCCGGAGCTCCTCAAGCTCAAGGACTGGCCGCCTGCCGCCTTCTTCCACGTGCGCCTGCCCCGCCACGGCTCCGAGTTCATCAACGCCCTCCCCTTCCACGCCTACCTGCACCCCGAGGAGGGAGACGTGAATGTGGCGGCGGCGGCTGCGGCGCCTAAGGGGAGTTTGAGGCCGGATCTGGGCCCGAAGACGTATATTGCGTATGGGGTGAGGGGGGAGCTGGGCGCGGGAGACTCGGTGACAAAGCTGCACTGCGATATGTCTGACGCGGTGAGTGGGGGGTTGTGTTGTGTGGGGGGGGAGAGGAGATGGGTGTGTGTGTGTGTGTGTGTGGGGAGTTTTGAGTCGACTGAAAACGTCGAGTTCATCAACGCCCTCCCCTTCCACGCCTACCTGCACCCCGACGAGGGCGATGTGAACGTGGCGGCGGCGGCCGCGGCGCCTAAGGGGAGTTTGCGGCCGGATCTGGGCCCGAAGACGTATATAGCGTACGGGGTGAGGGGGGAGCTGGGCGCGGGGGACTCGGTGACGAAGCTGCACTGTGATATGTCTGATGCGGTGAGTGGGTGGGTGGGTGGGTGGGTGTGTCTGGCCGGTCGTGGGTGTATCTGTGTGTGTCTGTGCGTGCACATGCATGCGTGCGTGCGTGCGTGCGTGCGTGTGTGCGTGCGTGCGTGTGTGCGTGCGTGTGTGCGTGGGCGCGGGGGACTCGGTCACGAAGCTGCACTGTGATATGTCTGATGCGGTGAGTGTGTGGGTGGTCTGTTTTTATGGTGGTCTGTGAGTGGGTGGTCTGTGTGTGTGTCTGTGTGCACTAGCGCGTGTGCGTATGTGACTGCGCATGCACATGGGATTGTGTGTTGTGTTGGGTCATGAGCTGGGATGCGATGTTTGGGAGTGGGCATGGGCATGGCCAGACCGTGTGCCTCTTTCCCCCCTCACATCTCAGCTCATGCCTCTAGTACTTTCTATTCTCCTCTCTCTCGGCCCATGAGGCGACTTTTGAGGCGCCTCAAAAGGCATCCCAGCTCATGCCTCTAGTACTTCCTTTCCTCCTCCTCTCTCTCTCTCTCGCATCCCATGTGAGTCCAGGTGAACGTAATGACCCACTGCCAGGAAGTGCCTCTGCGAGCATTGAGGTTTTTTTTTAGGCGCCTCAAAAGGCATCCCAGCTCATGCCTCTAGTACTTCCTTTCCTCCTCCTCTCTCTCTCTCTCGCATCCCATGTGAGTCCAGGTGAACGTAATGACCCACTGCCAGGAAGTGCCTCTGCGAGCATTGAGGTTTTTTTTTTAGGCGTTTCAAAAGGCATCCCAGCTCATGCCTCTAGTACTTCCTTTCCTCCTCTCTCTCTGGCCCCCATGTGTATCCAGGTGAACGTAATGACGCACTGCCAGGAGGTTTACTTTTGAGGCGCCTCAAAAGTAGACTCCTTTCCCCTCTCGCATCCCAGCTCATGCCTTCCTCCTCTCTCTTGGCCCCCACTCCCATGTGTGTCCAGGTGAACGTGATGACCCACTGCCAGGAGGTGCCTCTGAAGCCTTTCAAGAGCAAGAGTGTTCTTACTGTGCGTTCTTCCAGTGAACCCACCTGTGTTCTCCCCCCTTCTGCCTGTCCCCCCGCTGTCCCACCCCCATGTGTGTCCAGGTGAACGTGATGACCCACTGCCAGGAGGTGCCTCTGAAGCCCTTCCAAGAGAAGCTCGTGCGACGGCTGCGAGAGGAGGTGGAGAAGGCTAGGGCGAAGGGAGGAGAGAGGGGGGGTGAGAGGAGAGCGGTAGGGAAGGAGATGAAGGAGAAGGAGAAGGAGACGGGGAAGGGGAAGGAGGAGGTGGAGGAAAAGCAGGAGGAAAAGGAGGAGGAGAAGGAGAAGGGCAAGGGGAATGAGAAGGAGGAGAAGGAGAAGGAGAAGGAGAAGGAAAAGGAGGAGGGGGAGAAGGAGAAGAAGGAGGAGGAGAAGGAGAAGGAGGAGGAGGAGAAGGAGAAGGAGATAAATCTTGGTGACGCGCTGTGCCTTCTGCATTCTGCTTTCCCTCAGCACCCATCTCCATCTGCTGCTGCTCCTGCTTCTGCTCTGCATGCCACACCATCCAAGCCTTTGGCAGTGACGGGAGGTGATGTGAAAGTGCCACCTGTTCTTGCTGTTGGTGCGGCTGCGACTGGCGTTGATGACAAGGGGTTTCAGAAGCAGAAGGAGGTGAAAGAAAAGGAGAACGGTAAAGCAGAGAAGGAAGAGGAAGAGGAAGAAGAGGAGGAGGTGGAGGAGGATGAGGAGGAGAGGGAAGGGGCGTGGTTCAACGAGAGGGGAGGGGCGCTGTGGGATATATTCCGGAGGGAGGACGTGGGCCTGCTGAGGCGGTACATTCGAGAGCACAAGCATGAGTTCACCCATCTTCACAACAAGCCTTTACCCTCGGTACGCTGAACAACACACCTGAGTTCAATTGCTGAGGTGTTGAAAAAAAGGACGAAGAAGAAGAAGAAGAAGAAGAAAGCCTTTGATTTCTGTACATGCTGTGGTTGGATCCACTCGTTTGCCAAGGTGTTTCTGAGAGTTTTCGAGTAGCCTCTGCCTGGCGTACGCACACTCCTCCTCCTCTTCTCCTTTCATTTCCTTTCCTTTCCACCCCACCCACAAAGCCTCCTCGTGTCTGCTTTCTTGCGGGTTGCTTGACATTTGGTTCGTGAGCTTTCTGCATCTCAAAGCGCGTCTCTTGGTCAGCACGGGTGAGCTTACTCTCCCTTTCCCTCTTTCATCCTCGCCCTCCCTCTCCCTCCTCCTCTTCCTCTGCATTTCTCTCTTCCCCTCTGCAGCTAGAGCATGAGGTGCACGACCAGACCGTGTACCTCTCCAACCATCACAAGCGCCAGCTGCAAGAGCAATACGGTGAGCTGCTGCATGCATGCACGCATGACGTCCTAGAACACAGTAGAACAGTTTTGAGGCGCCTCAAGCCCAGAACAGAGTTGAATTGTTCCAAGACTTCTCCATCCTTCGCCCTGGCTTTCTAAAAGAAGATTTCGTTTTTTCTCTTCTGCTTCATTTCTGCTTTACGGATATTCTTCGTCCTTCCAACGTATCCATGCTTCACCTGTCATCTCTGCTCCTCCCCAGGAGTGCAAGCATGGACGTTCCAGCAGCAGAGAGGAGACGCAGTGCTCGTGCCGGCTGGTTGCCCGCATCAAGTCAGAAACCTCCAGGTAACTTCTTGCTGCCCGTTGCGGAAGGTTCCAACAAATCGTGTGCGAATGGCATGAGTGAGCGAGTGTGCGTGTCGAATGTCCCCACCTCATGCATCTCCTCTCATCTCATCTCCCGTCCCTTCCCATCCCGTCGCTCCTCTCCAAACAACACACCATATTCGCAGTGGCCCTGCCCTCCTCCACCCCATTCTCCCTTGAAACCAGTTTCCGCATTCTCCCCTCCTCTCACGCTCGTACCTATCCTCTCCTCCCCCCCCTCTCCTTACCCCCTCCTCCTCTGCACGCCCACAGTCATGCATGAATCTGGCCGTGGACTTGTGTCCCCGGCCCTTTGTACCCTTTTCCCTCACCCTTTCCTCCTTGCCGTTCCCCTCTCCCCCCCTTCTGTGCTTCCCCAGTCGTGCATGAAGGTGGCGGTTGACTTTGTGTCGCCTGAGAGCGTGTCAGAGTGCGTTGCACTCACACACGAGTTCCGAATGCTGCCCTCTGATCACCGCGCCAAGGAGGACAAGCTCGGGGTGAGCAGCAGGGGGGACGGGGGGAGGGGGGGAGGTGGGGAGGTGGGGTCGGGATGAAGCAGGGGAGATTTGGAAAAAGGGTGAGATGTGGGGTTGGTTCGTTCGAATCAAGAATTGGGAAGCACAGGGCACACAGCACACTTCTCTCGCTGTTGCTACACAGTGCCACTGCCACGAATTTACTCAGTACTCAGTATGACAACAAGGCACCGTCCTTGCTCCCTACTCTCAACCATCATCACCATCATCACCATCATCAACTGAAGTGCTGCTGCTGACTGCCCCTTCCCACACTTGCCTTGTATCTCCTTTCCCTCCCTCCCGTTCCCTGTTTTTCCCTGTCCTCCCGTGCTTCCATCCGTCCCATCCCCACCAGGTTCACAACATGGTAATCAACACAGCATGCAAGGATCCTATTCCTAATGCGCCCCACATATCGTCCTCCCCCTCCCTGTGCTCCATTCCACCCATCCATCCATCCCCACCAGGTTCACAACATGGTAATCAACACAGCATGCAAGGATCCTATTCCTAATGCGCCCCACATATCGTCCTCCCCCTCCCTGTGCTCCATTCCACCCATCCATCCATCCCCACCAGGTTCACAACATGGTAATCAACACAGCATGCAAGGATCCTATTCCTAATGCGCCCCACATATCGTCCTTCCCCCTCCCTGTGCTCCATTCCACCCATCCATCCATCCCCACCAGGTGTACAACATGGTGATCAATGCAGCACAAAGGGCGCTCGCCTCCCTGCAACCCGACTCCCAGCCTACTGCATCTGCTGCACACAACACCCGCAAGAGGAAAAAGCCGTGAAGGGCACTCAGCTGGCCACCCGAGTTCCATCTGCTAGCCTAGTATCCCATTCTGGGGTTGTTGATGTTTTGCTTAGTTTTTTAGAAAACTGGAGTTCCTCCTTGTACAGCCTGCTAACAGGCTGTGGTTTTCAAGGAGCATGTGTTGATCCTTCCCCCCCTCCCCTCCCTCCCCCCCCTCTCCTCTTTTTTTTGCGGATTTGGATTGTTTTGATGACTTTCTGTTGTTGCTGTTGCCAAGGTACCGTAGATTGATGTCTGCTCACTCACTAGGTAAAGAAAGAGTAATTTCTTATTACTTCACTCTTGTCAATATTTACGGTGAGATGAAGGGAAAGAAGCTACCACGATGGCCGTTTTTGGTCGTGATTCACCAGAAGAACAGCGCCTCCAATTCCAAACTGCTCCCAACAGATCTTGCTCCCTCTTGTCCTCCTTTCTCATGGCTGCTGCCGCCCTTGTTCCCTGGGAACCATTTAGGTGGCCAATAAATCGCGCGCTTTTCTCATTATCTCGCCGAGCACAGCTACCGGTACTGTAGATTGCCTAGCTTGCTTTAATGAATTTCATATGCTTGTGACTGGACTGGAGACACCCTCCCAAGGTTTCTACGGTTATGAATTCTCCCTTCTTCGGTACCGTATTTGTTGGGGTGTTTTTCACTGGAGTTTTGGAGGCACTGAAACAAGCTTGCCCTGTTCCCAGCCTGCATTTGGACGTTTGCTACAGGGCAATTCGTGGAGACATTCCAGCTGAGCAACGATATTCAACTCAATAATAAACCAGGTGCACACGGTCTGTCTGACGTCATACTCAAGATGCTCTCCTAGTACCTGTCATCGTCCCTTCTGAACAGACCCCTAACAATGCTAAACAGCACACCAGCAATAATGGAGAAGATGAAGAAATCAAAGAAGAAACCCAATCCACCACCTCCCACTCCAATGGCAACAGTGGGACCCGGAGTGACCACAGTGAAGGGAGACCAGCCCCACCCGCCGAAAAACGGTGAAGGAGCGAAGAACCCTCCTCCATAGATAGGCGGTGCCACAGTCACGGGAGGAGCAACGTAGATGTTGGTGCTGCGAGGGGAAGGGGGAGAAAGGGGATGAAGCGAGAGGATTAGTGTAGCGCTAGGTTGAGTGGAGGCAGCATGCCTGAAAGCTTGACTGAGCAGAAACACCACAAAAGGAGACTTTGCTCAGAGCAAAGCAGCAAGCCTGACGAGAAGCAGGACGTGAGCCTGTCGACCATGAATTTCCCAAAGGGGATGTATCCGTGGGCCATGAAATTCGACTGACAATGCTCCTTTCGCCCTTTTCCTGACCGGTGTCTCTCTTGTCTCTGCCGAGCCCTCCCGCCTCTCTGGTTCTCGACGCAGTTGAGTTGTGCGAGATCACTGACCGAAGAATCATATTCGCTAGCCAGGACCACTCACCGTATTTCCCCTTGCTTTATTTGTTTTGTATTTCTTTTGAACGGCTAAGAAAATGTTGACAATAACTCACTTGCTTCTAATCTGTGTGCGCTGACGAGGCGGAGGAGGCGCGGCGCGAGACCTTTGGAACGACTGACCACCCACGCGTCCGCCGCCTTGAGCCGCGTCCGCAACGAGAGCGGGCGACATGACGAGCGCGCCAGCCGCGAGGAGGATGGCGCAATGCTGAGCCGCCACGGCGAAGAGCGAACGAGGGGAATCGGAGGCGGCGACGACATCGGGAGTCTCCGCAACAACCAAGCTAGAGAAGCGACAGAGGGAAAACCGAAGAGAGGGTGATCAACTTGCAGGATGCTCATGCAAGAACGGCACGGAGAGACCGACACAGGCTAAACTGGACAACTCAGCTGCCTATGCTTCACAGGACGTTTCCACCGACACTGTTCGGTGTTTGCCAACCTAGACGAAAGACCGCACCTGGTGGACTTGGTGGTCTCGCAGACTTCCACCGGCTCCCTTGCTGAGGAACGGTCCGCTTCCGCTCTGATGGAAGCGCGAAGAGGTAAGGCGGGATTCCTGGCTACAAATCTCTTCTGCTGGACTTGCGGAATGAAAGTGGATGCGCCTAGATTCAAGGGGACCTTGAGCAAGAGAGCCATGGCGAAGCTTGGCCTACGACCGGTTAGTGAAGAACGAAATTAGGGGTATTGAATCCGGACTCGCGACGCAGAAGACGACCAAGCAACTCCAAGCAAGAACGCCTAGATCAGACGCTAACGGAACGAGGCTGATGGTCTGTGCTTGTCCGTGCTTGCCCAGGATTCTGTTCTTGGAAATGAGGTGGTGAGAAGGCTCGGGTGTAATCAAGCTTCGAGTGAAGGCCGAGAAGCTCGAGATTGGACTGGGCGTTTTGGCGGGAGGGGATGGAAGTAGGGCAGGGAGGGTGAAAGTCAAGAGGGGGTGTTTAGCGGATTTACTGCGATGGTTCAGCGCGTTTCAGTGGGCTTTCGCGGGGTGATAGACGTTAATAAGAATATACCGCTCCGGACCAGAGCCCACCCAACATCACCGTGGCACGTGGTTTTGAATATGAACACGTGGGACACCCCAAAACAAGGCGCCATTGTCGAAGGCATCGGTTGACAGAAGGAACCAACCCAAGAAATTGAGGACGCGAGTGCTGTCAGCATGACGTGGCGCGTGCATTGAAAGGGCTGAGAGTGATAAGGGCAGCGTGTCAGGTGACGAGGCCGTCGCACATTTCGAGGTTCATTGGTGCTCTGGCTCAAACCCTCTAGATAATTCCGACATGGGCGATCGACGGTATACAGTGGGCCACGTCTGTAGAGCCTCCTCAACATCGATATTTGTCACCCCCTCAGTACCGACTTTCTCGAATGCTTTGCGAAAGGGTAACTGCGATCAGGTTACTTCTACCAATTTCAAACAATATCCACTCCCTACACATTATGGATTTTTACTCGACATTCTGAATGTGAAGCACTTTAGGACGGTTGCAGGCGCATGCCTCGTAGCTTACTCACGAATCTCTCAGGAACGTGACACGTGTCCCCGACACCTAAGGCGCTCGTGGCTTACCTCCAAAATGGCGTGTTCTGCGCTTCGAACTCGGGTCAAACTCGCGCGCATCTCATTCGCACATAATCCTCATATCATGCTCGTGCATCCCTTCCGAATCCCGAGGGTTCCGCTCCGCTACTCCACTATGCAGCAATCGCGATTGACCAGACGTACCCAGCCCTGCCGCAGCAGCAGCTCCGTCCCTCTTTTCAGCCTCAGCTCACAGCATCAAGGTTTATCTCTTCGTCACGGATCATTCTGTTCATTTTCACCCCAGATGCTTCCATCCACACGTTAGCGCCGCCATGTCGGGAGCATCTCTAGCCGCAGACGTGTTCACATCCGAGCCCTACTGGAGGGGGCGACCCGTGAGCGTGCCGCCGGGGGGAACAGCTTACGACGACGAGAGTCCGCGCAGCCATCGTAGCAGCGGCGGAGGCAGCACCCGCCGACGGCGCTCCCCGGTGGGGTCAGGCAGCTGGGAAGCTCCGCTTCACTCCATGAGTCCCAAGTCCCAGAAGCACGCGCAACAGTCGCCGCCGCGCGATCAGCAGCAGCAGCAGCAGCAGGGAGCACAGCACGAAGGGGCGGGTTACCATGGGCATGGTTCGCAGGAGCATGGTGGAGGGTTGAGCATGAATTCAGTGGCAGCAACCTCGTTCATGGGGTCATTGAGCTTTGTACAGGTGGGGGTGTGGCTTGGCTTTTAACGTTTTATTATCTCGTCTAAAATACTTTTATTCTTTAACCAAATTGTGCTCTCTGACCCCTTATGCAGGTCCAAATGATGGCGTTCATTGTGGTGTTCACCAGCAGCGGTCTCGTGCCCCTAGAAGAGATATTCTTTGTCGTCTTTCTAACGATCTACTCATCCATCCTCGCTACATGGGCCTTCCCCCCAGTTTCCCGCTCAGCTCCCCCTAAGGTCTTCAGTGGAAGCAGGCTGTTCAAAGTGCATGTGACCGCTGGGGCTGTGATTGGGATGTTCCTGCCACTTTCCTACGTTCTAGGAGGTAGTTATTTAACGATCTGCTCATTTTAACCCCCTTTCACCAGCATGCTGATTTCTCACTAGTGCCAACAGCTGATGTTGTCCTGTGCTGTATCTGCAGGGTTTGCCAAGAATGATCATATGGCAGTGGAGTGCGTGACCCCTCACCTCTTCCTACTCTCCTGTCAAGTGCTCACAGAGAATATCATCGTTGATCTTACATATGTCTCCCTCCCAGTTCGTGCCCTCATCCCAATCATGTAAGTTCCATTTACAAAAACCCCTTACGCTGTTTTCCCTGTTGCCCGTCGCTGATGTGAGCCGCTTTGCGATGGCAGGTACAACTGGCATCGCCTTTCTCTGCTGGCTGAGTGGAATCGTCGGCTCCTTCAGGTGGTTGCAGCAGCCACATCAGCTGCTGTTTCTCAATCTGCTGATGGCGTGAGCAGTGGAGCAATGATACCTTCAGTGGGTGATCTTTACCATGGAGCGGGTCCAGCTGTTGCCAGCAGTGGGGTGGTTATCAGGAGGGCATTGATTGGTGGGGGGTATTGGCAGATGTTTGGAAGGTACTTGGCCGTTGCCAATCTTGTGTACTGGAGCCTGAACCTGTTTGGGTTCTTGCTCCCGGTGTTCCTGCCTCGTGCCTTCAAGCGGCATTTTGAGATGCAAGCTGCAGCAGCAACCGCTGCTTCACCAGTAGGACCTCCTTCAAAAGAGAAGAAGGCACATTGAGAAGTGCGGCTCTGTAGCCATGTCCCTGTGTGTTCGCATGTAAGCACTTATTTAGGTAGCTGAAGCGCATCATTAGTACAAAGACATTGTATTAATTGATGTTATGGAAGAATGTATATGGCTGATGCCCATTACTGCTTGATATGGTTTAAATTGTTTTCTCTGTAACGCCTCGGTGTCTCAGACCATTGTTCGCCAAACTCGTATTCCTCGCTGAAATTGATGAAGGGGCGGAGAAAGTCCACACCGGTATTTGTTTCTGATTCGGCGGTAAACACTCGCTGGAACGTTGTCAGGACAGGTGTTTTTACTCTGAGCAGGAACAAGTACGCGTCGCTCCCGCGCTCCGCTATCGCGACCCGATCCCCTCTGCATTCGTCCGCCACCACCACCACCAGTCGCACCGCACATGGCGCAAACATTTTGTCGGTCACAAGGCTCCTTCAGCCAGTTCCTCTGCAAGTCCCGATCTACGTACGGATCAATTCCTGCTCCCCTCCATCTCCCCTCTCAACCGTCAGATTCAAAACACAAAATGTGTTTTTTTGGAAACGCTGCTGCTTGGCTAATAAGACAACTTCCTCTGAATCTCCCCTCTCCTCCCCTCCCTTCCACCCGCTTTTGCCTCCCCTCTCCATCAACGAAGCTGCTCCTTAGATTGCTCGCTGTTGCATGGCAGATGGATGTGTGTCGCTCCATCGCCTCCCCTGTACATCCCGCTGGATTTTCTCCTTAGCCGACCAGTGAGCGAAGCGCAAACGCGAACTGATTCCTCGTGCTCGATTATCCCACCTCTGTGGAATTCCATTTTTCCTCGCTCCCTTTATCTTGTATTTGTCAAGTGGAGAGCTCCTTCTCCCGAGTGTCGACCCGAACTTGTAGTCGACTTGCTGCTGCTCTCGATACTTGGAATCTCGCTAGGCCTGGCAGCCTTATACTGCTGCCGACGTCCTTCGCCCTTACTTCCTTTCCGTTAGCTTCACACGAATCCAAATCACTCCGCACCCTAATTCTCGCGAACATATATTCTAGAACGCTCTCAGATTGGTCCGTTCAATGGTCCCTCGCCACAGTAACGCATTAACCATTTCACTCAGCCCGCGATAACACAACTACCGCTTAATACATTATGGCACGCTTAGCTCGCATCCAGTACCTTTAAGGCGCCTGAATAACGCTAACCGCGCACTCTCGCGTTCCCAGTCACCAACTTCCGTCTCTCCTCGTACTCCCGTCGCGGCATGGCCGCCCAAGGCTCAAAACGTCAACTTTACAAACGCGTGCTGCCACCGCAATCCAGAATCCGCGCTCTTAGCCTCCGCGTTTTCGCCTCTCTCCTAGTCTCGGCTCTGCTTCTACGAGTCGCAGCTGAGAATCCTTCCCAAGCCGGGCCAGCCCCGGCTGTATCTCCAAAAGCAGACGAATCGTTGTCGCCGGAACAGAATGCAACGGCGAGAGAGGCCGGGACGATCTTAGACTCTGACCAGAAAGGCGGGAGCGCAGGTAGTAATGGAACTGACGCCGGGATTGACGTCGGGAGTGATGCCGGGGCTAACGCCGGGACTGACGGCAAGGCGCAGGGCAACGGGACGAGTGGCGCGGGAGATGGGGTTGGCGGTAATGGCAGTGGTGATGGCGGCGGTGACGGTAGCGATGGGGCAGGCGACGAAGTAAATTCAGGAACTCCGTTAGGCGACGTGGGCGGTCTGAGCACCGACGGACTGACTTCCCCCGACGACTCCTCGTCGTCGCTGCTTTCCTCCGCCTCTTCCGCACCCACCTCCTCCCCATCCAATTCCTCTTCCTCTTCCTCTTCCCCCGCCTCCGCTTCCCCATCCGCCTCCGCCTCCGCGTCGCTCGAGCGCAAGTACAGCGACGCCATCGCCGCGTCGTACATCGTCTACCTCCGCGCGCTGCCGGCTGTTCTCAATTACAACGGCGGTATTGCCGGCTACCCGGCTACTTCGCCCTCCGCCACCCCCTCCACCCCGTCCTCCTCGTCCTTCTCGCCGTCACCGTCATCGTCGCAAATCGATTCGTCAGTGTTCGACTTGACGTCGTTAAAACCGACCAGCCTCCTCGCGTCACCTAACAGCGACACGAGCAGCGCTGCCGCTGGCGCCGGCGGTAGCAGCAGCAAGACCACGAGCAGCATCTCTGGCAGCAGCAGCAGCAGCAAGAGCAAATCGAAACTACGCGGGGGGGCCGCGGTGCGGCGCGTGAGGCAGCGCCTGCGCAGCCGACTGCGCGCCAATGTGCGCCTCGGCAGCGTCAAGGCGTTCGGGGACCTTTTGACAAGGCTACACCGTGACGTGGCAGAGTCCGTCAAGCTCCCGCTCTCCCGCATTTTCCGGAGCTACACGTACACGATGAACGCGTTCGGAGCGCGCTTGACTCCGAAGCAGGTGCACAAGCTGCGGCGACACGCGGCTGTCGCGATGGTGCGACCCGATAGGCTGGTGCAGCAGCGGACGGTGCACGTGCCGACGTTTCTGGAGCTGCCCGCGACGCTCTGGGGCAGCAATGGCGGGCAGAAGAAGGCGGGCGAGGGGATGATAATCGGAGTGGTCGACTCGGGGATATGGCCCGAGCACCCTTCGTTCGACGACGCGGTACGTGCTGGACTGAATTGTGTGAGTTGCTTTGAATGAGGGTGTAGTGTGGTAAGGCGGCGTAATAATGTCCGCGGTTTTAGCGTTTTTTTCACGGATTTCGCAACCTGCTGCTGTGCTTATTTTCTTCCCTTTCTCTCGCTCCCCTGCTCCCCCGCTCCCCTGTCGCTCCCCAGGGCTACGGCCCCATCCCCGCGCGGTGGTCCGGGCTGTGCGTGAACACGAGCGACTTCAGCGGCGCGTGCAACCGCAAGGTGATCGGCGCGCGCACGTACAGCGCGGGGCTCAAGACGGCGGACGTGCCCATCGACTTCTCCGCCGATTACGCGTCGCCGCGCGACAACAACGGCCATGGCTCTTGGTGCTCCGGGTATGGCGGGTGCTCTCCGGGTGTTGCTGCCGCCTTACCGCCGCCCTTGCGCGCGCTGGTGCTGATACTCTTGCCACATGAGAATTCGCAGAAGCATCCTCACGACTCGCGTCGCATTCTTCCTCTCTCCCGCCTCCTTCCTGCTCTTGCTGCCCGCCTTCTCCCTCCCCCTGTAAACTTCCCCCTTCCCCGGCTTCCCTTCGCCCTCCCCCGTGCAGCGCCGCAGCGGGCAACGCGGGAATCCAGGTGCGCATTGGCGGAACCTCGTACGGGGCCGCGTCGGGCATCGCGCCGCGCGCCCGCATCGCGATGTACAAGGCGATGTGGAAGTTGGTGGGGTACGAGGGCGCCTCGGGCGCCATGAGCGACGTGTACGCAGCCGTCGATCAGGCCGTATCGGACGGTGTGGATGTGGTCTCGATCTCCGTGGGCGGCGGGCTCGGGAGCTACTTTGATGACGTCACGTTCGTGACGGCGGCCAAGGTGCGGCGAGGCGAGGAAGAAGATTAGTGGGGAAAGAACTAATCGCTTCGCCCAACGAGCCCGAAGCGCACATACCGTCTCGCGTTTCCCGTGACTCTCCAGTGATACTCTGACTTGCTCGTATCGTTTCTGAGAAATTCATTTTCGAGGGTGATTACAATCCGTATCAGCCGCACTCTCATCACCTATAAACCTGCTGTCTTCCGTACCACCCTCCCCCCACCCCCCCCGCACATCGCGGCTCTCCGCACCGCAATCTTCGCAGGCGGGGGTGTTCGCGGCGCTAGCGGCGGGCAACCAGGGCATGCCGCCGCTGTCGCCGTCCGTGTTCGCCACAATCGACAACTACTCGCCCTTCTACCTCACCGTCGGCGCCAGGTACGGTGCCCCTCCTTCCCCCTCTTCTCCCCGTCTTGCTTGCCCACATCCTCCCTCTGCTCTGCTCTGCTCTGCTCTGCTCTGCTCTGCTCTGCTCTGCTCTGCTCTGCTCTGCTCTGCTCTGCACCGTATCCGTCACAGACTTACCTCATTGCCCCCATGTCCCCATCCTCACAGCCTTCCCCCATCCTCCCCCTCCCCTTTCTCCCCTCTTTCCCCCGTTTTCCCCACTCTTCCCCTCCCTCTGTCCCCTTTCCCCCTCTCCCCCTTCCCCCATTCCCCCTTCCCCCTCTCCCCCTGTTCCTCCCCCCAGTGGCACGGATCGGCGGTACATGGCAACGCTGACGCTGGGGAACGGGGTGCAGCTGCAGGGGCTCAGCTGGATATGGTCCCATCCGCCCTCTGCTCTGCTCATCCCCCCTACCTGTGACCCCCGTTCAACCATTCCCCCATTCCCCCATTCTCCCGTCCTCCCTCTGATCCCTCCCCCCAGTGGCACGGATCGGCGGTACATGGCAACGCTGTCGCTGGGGAACGGGGTGCAGCTGCAGGGGCTGAGCTGGGGCGGCACCAACAAGCAGATGACCCTTGTTGACGGCTCCTCTGCTGTCAAGCCCTTCGCCAGCGCCACCAAGGTACGAGGGTGGGAGGAGAGAGAGACCGTGGTGTGCTGGCCCCGCCCTGCCCCGCCCTGCCCCGCCCTAGCCCCGCCCTGCCTCGCCCTGCCCCGCCCTGCCCTGCCCTAGCCCCGCCCTTTTCCTTCGCTGCTTAGTTGCCTTTCGGTCTGTTTCAGAGTCTCTCGGCGTGCACCCCTGGCCTTTCCCTCCGTTCCTCACCGTGTCTTCCCTCGTCCCCTTGCCTCCAGGCGCGCCTGTGCTACTCCACGTCGCTCACAGCGTCCAAGGTGGCGGGCAAGATCCTGGTGTGCGCGCGGGGGGAGAACACGCTCTCATGACTTTTGAGACGTCTCAAAAGTGCTCTCATGCCCCTCCCATGTCATGCTCCCTCTCCCCCATAACTCCCAGGCGCGCCTGTGCTACTCCACGTCGCTCACAGCCTCCAAGGTGGCGGGCAAGATCCTGGTGTGCGCGCGGGGCGAGAACACGCTGGGGGACAAGCTGCAGGCGGCCACGGCCGCGGGCGCAGCAGCGCTGGTGATCGCGAACGTGGCGGGAGGGGTGAACAACACGGTGTTCCTGCGCGCCGCCATCCCGGTGATTCATCTGAACGCGACCGCGTCGGACGCGCTGCTGCGATACATCTCCACGGGCAGGTGAATGGCTGTGGGGCAATGTGGGGTGTGGTTGTGCGGGCGGGGTGAACAACACGGTGTTCCTGCGCGCTGCTATTCCGGTCATTCATCTGAACGCGACTGCTTCGGAGGCACTGCTGCGATACATCTCCACGGGCAGGTGCGCGCATGGAGGGGAGGGAGAGGAGGGAGGGGAGGGAGGGGAGGGAGAGCATGGAGGGGAGGGAGGGGAGGGAGGTTCTAATGATCAATCCATCCATTCCAGCCTGTACCACCCCTCTCCTGCTATCTCACCACAAGGCTCATCCTGCCCCTTTCCCCCGCCACTCTCCCCTTGTCCTGCCCCTTTCCCCTTTCCCCCACTGCTCTCCCCATTCACAGGGCCACAGCCCGTCTGTCTGCACCGTACGGAGTGGACAATTTCCTCGCGCCCATCATTGCAGACTTCTCCTCCAGAGGACCCGTCACCAACCCCTCGCTGCCTCCCAGCCCCGGGATCGCCACAAACGACATCTTAAAGCCCGACGTGGTGGGCCCGGGAGTTAACCTCTGGGGCCCGTGGCGCGCGCAGTTCCCGACTTCAGATCCGAATAACTTTGGGTTGCTGTCCGGGACGTCTATGGCGACGCCGCAGATGGCTGGGATCGCTCTGCTGATGCTACAGAAACACCCTGACTGGACACCTGCTCAGGTGATTTCAGCAATGATGTCGACCGCGACGCTGAGGACGAACCAGGGCGGGCCGATACCGGCAGGAGAGACAGGGAGTGTTGCTACGCCTTGGGACATGGGAGCTGGGCACATCAACCCGAAAAAGGTGCTGGATCCGGGGTTGACTTACAACGCAGGGATCAGAGACTTTGCGAATTTTCTCGCCGGGCAGGATGCGGGGAAAGCAGCAGGGTTGTTTTCCAGTCTTGGGAACCTGAGCCCGATTCCTGCGTACAACCTCAACAGAGCGTCGATTTCAGTGTCACGGTTGAAGAAAATGGTTACGGTAGTAAGGACGGTGACGAATGTGGGGAATTCCGCGTCGACGTATCGAGCAACGGTGGTGCCGCCTAGTACTGCCTCAGTGTCGGTATGGCCCACTGAGTTCAGTATACCAGCGGGCGGATCGGTGACATATAAGGTGACGATCACACCTAAAATGGTAACCAACAGTTTCTCGTTTGGGAGCATAACGTGGAAGGACAAGCAGGGGCATGCTGTGCGGTCGGTGATTGCTGTTCAAACCATCTCGTGAGCAGCTTCCCGTTGGTTGCTATTGTTTAATAAGCAGCAGTACATTTCACAAGGAGGTGGTGGTGCTAATTGTCATGTTAGTCTAACTGATTCAACGTTGCTAATCTTGTTCCACAGCAGCATCCTTTGCTAACCATGGCTTGTGTAGTGTCATAAGCTCATTTCACAGTATGCCTAGAGGGATGAGATTTGAAACTGATCTGCCTCTATCCGATTGATATGTAACAGCTTATAGAGGTAATCTCCAGGTGGTAAGCGGACAACACCTGCGTCGCGGGACATATCCAGTGGCCACGTCAGTACACGTACCCACATGAGAGATTCTCTGTCATCCTCAGCTTTCCCGCCACAAATTTATCAAGATGTCAAGTCTGTCGAACACCAGCCTAAATTCTGGGAAGGGTTACCACAAGCGGACGAAACGTTACAGTCGCTCGCCGGCTGCCACCGCCTCTTGGTCGGTAAACCAACCAGGCGGGGGCAAGAAACTGGTTGGAAAAGCAGCCCAAAACTCCCCAATGTCCAGCCAATGCTCAGCACGTGGCCAAGCGTCGCGACGTAAACTGCCCTGTCCGAACCGACTGGGGAGGTTCGGTAGGTCTGCTGCTGATTGTGCAAGTTTCAGGTGCATTGTTGCTCTCGTTCGGAATGCGTTTCGCCTTGGGATCTCCAATTTGGATGGATTTCAGCAACTCTACCGTTTTACCTCGGGACTTCCGCAGACCACACATCAGATCCCTGATAGTCCCGCAAGCACACCGCCTGCTCTTCTACATTTCAAATTCGGTTATCTTGCGTGGGCAAGTGCGATAATTGTGAGGAGTCTCGCTCCCGTCTGGATTAAGATATAGAAGACAAGACTTGTTTACTGCCATGTCGTATGTCCTGCCATCTTGAGGTCACACATTAGTGTATAGTTTAATCACGTCCTCTCCAGCGTCAACGTCTCCCGTTCCGTACGGCTCCTCCTGCCGTATCGTCTCCGAAGCCACTATATCGACCCCCCACCGTTTGTCCACAAACATAACAGCCTGCCATCCACGCCGCAATGTTCGCGAGGCTTCTCGGAGCGGCCACCGCCACAGTCGGTGGTGCGGCGGTAATTCCTGGCGCCTCCGGTCCCGCTGACGAGGTCAATGAGGTGTGTATTGATGCGTTGACAAGTCGTTGAGGTGTGTCAAGGAGTTTGACACCCACGTGGCTGACGATTAAGACACGGAGTTCCGAGGACTTTATGATTGGTCTGTTTCCGAGCGTGGCGCATTAGGTTTCCGCTTGGCATAGGACGGCTTCAGCCGATTCACGATATGAAACTGTAACACAACCAAAAAGAAGAACTAGAATCGCAAGTCTCTCCTAATATTTGCCTTGTGCTCCATCAATCCCTAACAAACAACCTCGTTCACCTCCCCACCCTCCCATTCCCGCCCTATCCTCACTCTCTCGCGCGTTCCTCTCCTCACCCCGTCTCGCTCCTCTCTCTCGCCGTCTCAAGGCTGCCGCCCTGACCGTGCCGGCCGGCTCGTTGAAGCCGTCGCAGCTGGAGCCGCGCGTGGCCGTGCATCACGGCGTGCCGTGCTCGACGACGCACCTCGCCTTCGACCCCCTGCAGCGACTGCTCGCCATGGCCACGCGGTACGGCTACTGGCATTAGGTGCGCGCGTTGGCTTGTTCGGGAAGGGAAATGAAGGCCAGGTGCGGAGGGAGGAGGGCGGGGGGAAGCGGGGGTAGGGAAGAAAGCAGCGGGAAAAGGGAAAGGGTTCGGATTGCGGGCTGGAGGGGCAGCGGGAGTGGAGAGGGAAGGCAAAAGAAGTGGAATTTGGGAGAACAGAGGGCGAGGAAGGACACTGGATGGGAAGCAATCAGGGGGTGCTGGGGGCAAGGAAAAGAATGACCATAAGAGGCGCGAATGGTGGATGTGCAATCCTCGCCACCGCTCGCCACTGCTGTTGCCGTTGCTGTCCGCTGCTTCCCAGTGCTTGCCACTGCCGGTTACAGCCCTCCTCGCTGGTGCACTTGCATCTATGCTGCTGCTGAAACTCATGTCCCGTTCCCCTACTGCCATCCCCCCTTCCCCTTTCCCTCTTCCCCTTTCCCCCTTCCCCTTTCCCCCTTCCCCGTTCCCCTTTCCCCCTTCCCCGTTTTCCCCTTTCCCCCATCCGCCGTCCCCGCCTTCCCCCGTCCCCCCCCTTTCTCTCATCCTCGATCCACCCATTCCACGGGGAGTGGTGCGAGCAGCGACGGGCGGTTCAAGGTGTATGGGCGCGACGGCATTGAAGTGCTCTTCACCTCGCCCTCTCGCGCCCACTGCAAGTTCCTTGAGGTGCTCTCGCGCGCGTACCTCCCTCATGCACACACTCTCTCCCTCTCCCTCTCCCTCTCCCTCTCCCTCTCCCTCTCCCTCTCCCTCTCCCTCTCCCTCTCCCTCTCCCTCTCCCTCTCCCTCTCCCTCACTCTCCCCCGATCTCACTTTTCCGCGTGCAATAGCCTGCCTCCTCTGCTTCCGTTCCTCCTTGCTGACGTCCTGCCATCACCCCATCCCATCACTACCTGCTTCCTCCCTTCACATGCCGCCCTTCTATCGTCCCTGACCCCACCCACCTCCCACTTCCCACCTCTCCACTGCCCGCATTCTCACCCCCCTGCCGCCACCGCTCTTCCCTCCTCCACCCTGGCATTCCCTCTGTCCTCCTCCCTCGGCCATCCGTGCACAGTTCATGGTCAACCGTGGTCTGCTAGTCCTGGTCAACACAGAGAACGACATTGAGGCAAGTGCATCCGCATACAAGCACCCAAACACCTTATCCATTGCTGCGCTGCCTGCTGTCAACTACAACAGCTCTCGCCCTGCGTGCTGCGCTGTCAGGTCTATTGTGAAAAGCTTTTGTGTAACAACTAATTACCCTGACTGCAGGCTGTTAACATGTGTTCTCCCCACCTCCCCCCCCTCGCCCCCGTCATCTCCTCCCTCCTCATCCCCCGCCCCTCTTACCCATTCTCTGCTTCATCTTCGCCCTCCCTCCACCCCCCCCTCTTCTTCTGCCTTTTCCCCACGTCCCCCCTTCTCCCCCTTCCCCCATCCCCTCCTGCTCGTGCCCCTCTTCCCCGCGTCCCCCTCCCCCACCTGCGCACCCCCATGCCGCCCTCTCCTCCCCGTCCCCGTCCGACTCCCCTTCCCCCCTCTCCTCCCCACGTGCAGGTGTGGGACCTGTCGCGGAAGCAGCTGGGCGCGTCTCTCAAGTGGACGGCGGACGTCACTTCACTCGCGGTTGCCCCCAGCTCCCATTTCATGTCCGTGCGCTGGCAGGGGATGGGGGGGAAGAAGAGGGGGGAACCGGTGGAGTAGGGGGAGCGGGGGCGGGTGGGGAGGGAAGAGGAGAAGAGAGAAGGGGATGGGGGGAGAGGGGGGAGCGAAGGGGAGTGTTGTGGTTAGACGGGCAGAGCAGAAGGGGAGTGATGCAGGGGTGAACCTGAGCGGAGAGGGAAGGATGAGAGGAAGGCACTGGTGCCATGCCACAATGCCCCTGCCTGCTCCTCTCTCTGCATTCCCCTCCCAACCCATTCAAGCACACACCCTCTTCCTATTCTGCCCCCCCTCCACTTCCGTTGCTCATCACAGTTCGTTTCATTCACTAAAAAAAAAGAAGTTGATCCATTTACAAGTTATTGTGATCAGCTGGTTAAATCATCTCATATCAAAGAGCAAACTAGATCAACCACTTAACGTAATTCGTCCACATAAGTTCTCTGGCGTGGTCAATCTGCTTCTCGTGCCCTGGCGCCCTGTGTTTCAATGCCCTGTGTGGGATGGGATTCACTGTAGCTACATAGGCGACGACGAGGGGGCGATGAGTGTGCTGGAGTATACGCCGAATGACAAGCCAGGCAGAGCAGCAAAAGGTGGCAGCGACGGCCCTGCAGGCGAACTCTCCATCAAGCCCTACCGTGTGCCCATCACTGCCACCCTCGGTGAGTCGTTCATGCCGCTCACTGCTGTTGTTGAGCAGTCTCTTGGAATGAGACAACGTCCAAAACTCAGCAAGACGACGTCTCATGAGTAGATGAGTCGGAGTATGCATTTTTTCAGAACTCAGCCGTTTCCCCCCCCAACAGATCACTCTCGTTGCATCATACCATGCAGCCTCCCTCTCCCCCACCATCCTTCCCCTCATCCACTATCCACTCCACTGTGTGTGTGTGTGTGTGTGTGTGTGTGTGTGTGTGTGTGTGTGAGTGAGTGTGTGTGTGTGTGTGTGTGTGTGTGTGTGTGTTTGTGTGTGTGTGCAGGCCCCCTCATCTCCTCGGGTGCGCTAGATGCCCCGGCCCCCCTCATTGCGATTCTTCCTCAGCCGTCCGCGCCACACAACAGGTACTGCCTTGCCTTGCCTTGCTTTACCTTGCCTTGTCTGCACCCCCTCTCTCCATCCATACGCCATGATCGTGCTCTGGGACTCTTCCCGTGGATTTAAAGCACCTCGTGCGACTCTTCCTCTCCTCTCCTCCCCCGTCACCTCCTCTTTTCCCTTCCTTCTCCTCCCTATCCCCCTCACACTAATCGTGTATCCAGAGTGCTGCTGGCGTGTTCAAATTGCCTGCTCGTGCTGCGGGACCTGTTTCCGAAGCCCCTCTAAACTGTTCCTCTCCCCCCCTCCCCCCCCGGCTCCCCTTCCCCCCGGGGCTCCCCTACTGTCTCCCCAGAGTGCTACTGGTGTATTCAAACGGCCTGCTCGTGCTGTGGGACCTGCACTACCTGCAACCAGTGGCCATCCGAGGAGGCACTCGCGCCCAACGCACCGCCTTCCTCGACGCCTCTGCTGCCGCCGCCGCCGCCGCGGTCGCTGCTGCAGCTGAAGCCGCCGCAGCAGAGGGGAAGAAAGGCAAGAAGGGCGGGAAGGGAGCGGGGGGAGCAGGGGGAGGAGGCGACGGGGGGAAGGGGGGCGGGGTGATGGATGAGCGGGAGAGGGAGCGGGCGTTAGAAGGGGAGGATGTGGAAGGGAAGGAGGTGTGCAGCGTGTGCTGGGCATGTCAGCAGGGGGCAGTGGCAGCAGTGGGGTATACAGACGGAGACGTGGCCCTATGGGGTTTTCCTGTACTATCCAGCAGCAGCAGCACTGGTACCACTGGCATCACTGGCCCAGCTGCTGCTGCAGCAGCAGGCGGTTCTGGCAGCAGCGGCGGCGGCGGTAGCGGAGGGGGAACCGGTGGCAATGGTGGCGGGGGGGTAGGAGAGCCTATACCAGCCGCGCTACTAGCAGATACGCGGGCAGAGGTGCTGGGGAGGCCGCTGAGAAAGGTGTTTGTTGCAAGGGGCAAGGCGGAGCGGTTGCCTGTGACCATCCTGAGGTGGTGCTGTGACAGTGACGCGTGGGGGAAGAAGGCCAGCAAGGGCGGATATGCGGGCGGCGGGCGGCTGTATGTGTTTGGCGGCGATGTGCTGGGCGCGCCTGAGACTGTCTATGTGAGCTTCACAAGGGCCGGAGAGGGTTCTTCACACACTGCTGATCGCAAGGGCCCCCTTGCAGTGCCTGCTTGTTCTGCATCCTGTTTTTTGAGGCGCCTAAGAAATAGACGCCTCGCAGTGCCTGCTTGTTCTGCATCCTGTATGTGTTGGCCGTTTATACAGGATGCAGAACAAGCAGGCACTGCCATGAACGGGGTTTATCTGCTAAGCAGCTTTTGCTTGTGGTCCATCATGGCTCTCCTCCAAACCCCGTTCTCTCTTCCTCCATGTAGCCAATCAAACAACGCCTTTGATATGAGAACCCCTTCTCTTTCTGCCTCCTCCCTCAGCCTCCTCCCTCTGCTTCCTCCCTCCGCGTCCTCCCTACTCGTCCTTCCTCCCACAGGTGGTGGCGCTGGGCTCTCTCCCCTCAGGCCTGCCAGAGCTTTCAGGCACGAAGCTGCCGTGGTTCGGCCCTGTGGCAGACATTCTAGTAGCTCCAGACGTGCCGGCCAAGCCGCGTCCCAAGGAGGCCGGCAAGAAGCCGGGAGCGGCACTCATGGTGCTCACTATCCCGGGGCAGGTGCATCTTTATGATGAGTACGGGATCGAGCTGTTCTTCTCTGGCCTCTCTGCTCCTCCTGCCGCTGCTGCTGCTGTGGCTGGAGCAGGAGCGCCGGCGGTGGCAGCAGCTGCTGCTGCTGATAGTGGTGGTGGTGGGGGAGGGGGAGGAGCGGGAGGAGCAGGGTTCCCATCGTCAGGGAGTGTGGGGGCGGTGCGGCTTCCAGAGCCGATGCTGTTTGAGTGCCCCAACTCGGTCGCCACAGCAGCCATCATGACCATTGCTGAGCCCCACTCCATCGCTGCTCAAGTGCTGCTGCGGGTGCGCATTTTTCCTTTCCCCTTTCCTCCTTGTGCCTCTCTTCACGCTTCCCTTCTCTTTATTTCCTTTTCTTCCTCACCACTTCCCCCCTCCTGCCCCCTCCTGCCCCTTCTGCCCGCCCCTCTTGCCCCCACTTGCCCCTTCTTGCTACCTCACTCCTCCTCGTCCCACCCCTCTCACTGCAGCTGCTTTTGCCCTCTCACACCTTGTTTCCTCGGCGCCCTCCCCCTCTCCCTCCCCCACTCGCCCATTCAGCTCCCCCGCTCCTCAGGCTCGCGCTGTCCAGCGCATCTATCCCACGGAACGGAGTGGTCAGTGGCAGGAGGAAGCATGGCGGAGTCAACAGAGCTCATAGCGGACCTGGGCCTCTGCCTCTTTGCATCCCATGTCCTCCCCTCCGCACAACCCTTCTCTCCTCCTTCTGTAGCCCGCCCCCTGCTCTCCCAGCCCGTCAGCCTCATTCTCTCTCCCCCCTTCCCTCCCCCACTCCCTCCCCCACTCCCTCCCCCACTCCCTCCCCCCCTCTCCCCCATTCGCCCATGCAGCTGCCCCGCTCCTCAGGCTCGCGCTGCCCAGCGCATCTATCGCACGGCACGGAGTGGCCAGTGGCAGGGGGAAGCATGGCGGAGTCAACGGAGCTCATAGCGGACCTGGGCCTCTGCCTCTTTGTGTCGGGCCACCACAATGGCCTCGTGCATATCTCCGATGTCTCCACGCCGCTCCTTGCGCCCCTCGTCTCCGCCATACCCATTGGCTTCCCAGTGCGTGTGTGTGGGTGTTAGTTGCTGGACTGAGCGTTTTGCTATCCTGTCCTGTCGCTGCTGCTGCTGCTGCTGCTGCTGCTGCATCTACTGCACTTTTCCCGTCTTTGTCCTTCTCTTAACCCCTTGCCGGCCTCCCTTCTTGGCGCTGTGTTGCCGATGCCTCCCTCCAATGTCTCCCCCCAGCATCTCCCCGCAATGCCTCCCTTAAAATGTCTCCCCCCAGTGTCTCTCCTGCCTCTCCTGGTGGTTCACCCGTGTGTGGATTTTTGGACCTTCCTTTCCTATTTCTCCACCTGCCACCCTTACTTTTTCGTTCCCTCTCCCCCATACCCTTCCCTCATGCCCTTCCCCCCATGCCCTCTCCCCCGTGCTCTCTTCCTCGTGCCCTCTCCCACAGATGGAGCCGTATGAGCCGGTGACAGCGCTTGACTTCTGTCCAGCATCCGGGCTGCTAGCAGTGGGGCATGGCGACGGGCTGGTGCAGCTGTTTGTCACCCCGCTCCGTGTGCCCCCCCCCCCCTGTGCCCTCTACCTCCCCCATGCCTCCCCCCACCCCCCCGCGCACACAGATGGAGCCCTACGAGCCGGTGACAGCACTCGACTTCTGTCCAGCATCCGGGCTGCTAGCAGTGGGGCACGGCGACGGGCTGGTGCAGCTGTTTGTGCTCAGCGCCACGCCCAGCCGCGTGTGGGTGTGGACGGTGCGAGAGGCCACGGAGGTGGACGCGCCTCTCAAGGCTGCGGAGGATGGCACTGCCATTGACGTTCAGGATGGCTTCGTGTACAAGAAAGGTGCGCTGAGGGAGAGAGAGGAGAGGTGGGGGAAGGGGGTTGTGCACTAGACAGGTGTGGACAGTGCGGGAGGCCACGGAGGTGGATGCGCCTCTCAAGGCTGCAGAGGACGGCACTGCCATCGACGTTCAGGACGGATTCGTCTACAAGAAAGGTGGGTTGGTAGGGGGCGGAGGGGGAGGGTAGGGGCGCTGGCTGGTTTGCACTCGAAAGGTAGGCTTGCATGGGGAGGGTGAGGATGCACTAGAAAGTTTGGTTGGTGTGGGGTTGGGCGCTAGAAAGGTGGGTTGGGGGCTCTAGAAAGTTTGGTTGGGGACAAGGGGCTGGCTGGTGGATCTGTGAGGTGGGTGTGTGTGTGGGCCGCGGAACGTTTTGAGTACAAGAAGAAGGTGGTCGTGGAATGGGGGGAGGGGGTTGGGATGTGGAGAGACGTTCGTGTGCAAGAAAGGTGGGTGAGACGGATCGGATCTTTGATCTGCTGTTCACTCACTCACACTTTTGGATTCTTCTTCGAGGAAGGTGGGTTCAGTTCAGGGTGGGCTGGAGGGAGCGGTTTGTGTGTGGGAGGGTGGTGTGGCATGACAGGGTGGGTGGGTGGGTGGGTGGGTGGGTGCAGTCTCGGGGTGTGTGTTGTGGGTGCACTTCTCCACACCTCCCCTTTCCTCTTCTTCCCACTCCGTCCCTCCCTTTCCATCCCTTCCCCCCCTTCCTGTCCCTTCCCCCCCCCTCTGTGCATCCCATCAGCGGCGGCGCAGGAGGCAGCGCCGGGCTTCCAGTGTGTGGCGCAGTTCAGAATCCATGCCAGTGCGATCCGAGCCATCGCCCTCGCCACCTCCATTGCCCGCCTCGTTGTTGGAGACGACCGAGCAGGCGTGAGTTCCCTCCCCTGCCTTTGCTTCCGTCTCTCCGCCCCCTCCCTTTTACCCTGCTGTTCCGCCCAGCGCTGCCCTTCTGCAACCTCCCCCCCTCCTCCGCGCCCATCCTCCATTTTTCGACTCTCCTTCTGGCTGCTTCACTCTCTGCAATCTGAGTTCCTCTCCTCATCCCTCTCTGCTTCTCTGCTTACTCATGTCCCTCCCCCCCTCCCCCGCCCATCCTCACACCCCCCACCCCCCAAGAACGTGCATTTATCCAGCCCTCGATGCTGCTTCCCTTCTGCCTGCTCTATGTTAGTTCGCCTCTCTGCTTCTCCTGTAACTTCTAGCATGGCCCGTCAGTGACCTGTCGTTTGTATCATGTACCCCACTCTCTGGCACAAAACCTCATATTAATTCCGCAATTCACCACTCGAAAATCACTTACTCTCCCAACGATCCAGCTCCCTGTCACTCCCACTCTATCCTCCCTCGCAGCTGTCTCTGTCTCGTGTCTCAGCCCATCACATCATGCCACGCCCCTGGAACTGTTCCTTGTATCCTCCATTCCTTCTCTCTCATCGACCTCACTACCTTTAGGCTCGTCTCCCAGTACGTCATGCCACACAGTTGGCACTCTCGTGAGAGCACTCATATCTAGCCCGCTTGCTCCTCTCCCTCTCTCCCCCATCGCAGGTGTCTCTCATCGACCTCACCACCTTCAAGCTCGTCCTCCAGTACGTCATGCCTCGCCCCTGGAGCTTTCGTGATCTTCCTTGCTGACTCACATATACGCTGCCCCCGCTCCACACACTCTCCCCCCCTTCCTCCCTTCGCAGGTGTCTCTCATCGACCTCACCACCTTCAAGCTCGTCTTCCAGTACGTCATGCCTCGCCCCTGGAACGCCCCTCCTCTCTCCATCTCCTCCATCTCCTTCGCACACCTCCCCTCCGCCTTTGCTTCTGCCAGCGCCATGAGTCTGCTCACCCCTGGAACCTCTAGAAGCTCTGCCCCTAGCATTCCTGGTCTCGGCACCGGCGACGGCAGCAACACGCCTGCTTCATACTCCACCTCCACCCCTGGCCGTAGCGTCGACTCTACCACTTTCCCCGGGCTCCTCTCTCCCGTGTCGACCCCTTCGACGTCGTCGACTGGAGGGGGGGGCGGGGCGGGCGGGGGAGGGGGCGAGTGGGGGGGAGGAGGCGGGGGCGGGCACGGGGTGTTTGTAGGGGCGTCGGACTCGTCGTTTGTGGTGCTGGACGCTGCTACGGGGCAGCTGCTGCTGCGCGGCCCGGTGAAACTCCGGGAGGCTTCGCCTGCTGTGGCCATGCTGCTGCTGGGTGAGTGTGACGGCATGGGAAAGGTGGGGAAGGGGGGGAGGAGGGGTGCGGGAAAGGAGAGGGGTTACTGAGCTTGGTGATTTCCCTTTTGAGAATTCTCAAACGCTTTTCTCCGGGCGTTTATGCGTGCACAGTGCACTGGCCTGATCCACCTCTCCTCTAGATCCGTCCTCCCTCATCCCAGTTCACCCACCTAAGTGGTTTTTGAGAAACCTCAAAAGGTCCCCTTTCCCTGCGTGCCTCCTTGGCCCTCACGGACCGTAACAATCACTGTCCTTTTACTATTACTGACGACTAAAATATCCTCTTCCTTTTTTTCCCTTGCTTTTGCCCTGCTGTCATGCCTGCCGCTGACCTCAATGGTCAACTCATGCCTGCCTGCCTCTCACGTGAACGTTCTCAACCCATGTGTGCTGCTTCAGACGCGGACGGCTCTCCGCTACCCCGCCTCGCTGCTCCTGTACGCCTGGACCACGTTCGATCCTCCCGCTCCTCCCGCAAGCGGCCGCTGCACGTGCCCCAGCAAGAGCAGCAGCAGAAGGAGGGGGGGGAGGCGGAGGCGGGTGAGGCGGAGGAGGGGGAGGAGCGGGAGGAGGGGGAAAAGGCGCAGATTCCAGCTGAGGGAGAAGCGACTGCTGTTGCTGCGTCTCCTTCTGCAACCCCCCGTGATTCAAGGCCTGATGGGTTGGCAGCAGAGGGGGTGGAAAGCGGAGCAGATGCAGTGGCGGGAGAAGCCGATGGAGGGGATGGTGAGGAGGGGAGGGGCGAGGCAGGGAAGGGGGGAGAGGAAAAAATGGCAGAGGGAGGGGAAGCGGATGGTAATGGTGATCGTGATGCTAGTGAGATTGTTTCTAATGGCGCAACTGACAGCAGCAGCACGGCAAGCCAACCTCCTGAAAAACAACCTGAGAATGCACCTGCTGATGAAGACTCGAGCCAGCAGGATAAAGCCCCTTCCGCACCACCCACCCCATCCTCTGATCTCCCTGCTACGTCCAACAACCCTGATGATTCTTCTGCCATCGCTGCTGCAGATACCCCTCAAGACTCTGCCTCCTCTCCCACTGCTTCAAACACCCCGTCAGAAGCAGACGGGGCAGACGGAGCAGCAGCAGCAGCAGCAGCACCACCAGCAGCACCAGCGCCGAATCTGCTTCCTCTTCCGCCTGCTAAGGTTGCTGCTGCTGCAGCTGCGGCGGCAGCAGCTGCTAAGGCTGCTCTGCCGGCACCTCCTGGCCGGCAAAAGTGGCCGGGAGCTGTGGCGAGCCCAAGGGTTGGCAAAGGGGGAGGTTTGGCAGACAAGGAAAGCTCTACCCCTACTGCCGCCGGTCCTGGGGGGGCAGCAGGAGAGGGAGGAGTAGGGGGAGCGGCAGCGGCAGGGGCAGGCAAGTCGGGGATTGGGTGGGGGCTCAAGAACCGTATTGGTATCCGAATCAACGCCAAGGGAAGCTTGAGTTTCAGTGTCCACACGCAACCAGCAGGCGGCAAGGCAGGAGCAGGGAAGGCAGGCGCTCACGGAGTGGGTGATGGTGGTGGCAGTGATGGGTCTGGGTCAGGTGCAGGTGGAATGGAGTCGCCTGCTGTTGCACCTAGCCCTGCTGCTGCTCCTGCTCCTGCTGCTGCTGCCGCTGCTGCTATCCAGGCAGTGGACTCAAAGCCAACTCCAGTTGCTGCTGGTCGCGCCAATGCCGAGCTGCAGCTAGAAGCAGCATCAGCAGCAGGAGCAGGAGCAGGAGCAGGAGCAGAGGCAGAAGAAGTGGCGGTAGCGGCAGTGGAGGAGGAGGAGGAGGAGTTTGACCCGTATGAGTCGCTGGAGGCACTGAGCATACCCACAGTGGCGCCTGAGGTGCACTATGTGCTGCTCGCTACCCGCATGTGCCTCGCTCTTTGCGCTGCTGCCACCCTGCCACAGGTACATCATACAGGGGATGAAGTGGGAAGGGTTAGGGAGAGGATGTGAATGGGGTAGAGGAGAGGGCGCGGAGAGGGTTGGGGGAGGTCGCGGGGAGGAAATGGGTTGGGAGGGCCGGGAAAGCTGGAGCGAGGATGAGGGGCCCTTCTTCGCTTCCCCCCCCCTCCTCTCCCTCACCACTCCCCCATCCGTCTGTTGCTTGGACGCCTTGCCTTTCGGATTCTGGTGACGAAGAAGATCAAGAGTGTCTGAGGAAGAAAACGAGTGTTATCAAGTGAAATAACACCACCTTCCCTCCTCCCCTTCCTTTTCCCACTTCCTCACTTCTTTCCCCACTCTCTCCCTACCCCATCCTCTCCCAGGGCTTGCCGGAGAGTCTGCTGAAGCAGATGCGAGTGTTTGAGGATGCAGAGGAGGAGGGCGACAGGGAGGCCAGGTGGAGTTTTGAATGTCTCAAACTTCTTCTCCCCCCCCCCCTTCCTTCTCGCTTCCTCTTCCGCCCTCTTCCCTTATTGCAGGGCCTGCCGGTGAGTCTGCTGAAGAAGGTGCGGGTGTTTGAGGATGCAGAGGAGGGCGACAGGGAGGCCAGGTGGATGGGGTCGTTTGGAGTCACACCCTTCTTTGCGCCCGGCCTCATGCTCCTCTCCGCCAAGGGCTGTGTGGAAGTCAGGTCAGCCTTTCTTTTCTTTCTCGCTCTTTTCTTTGAGGCGTCTCAGACAATACTCCCTTCTTTGCGCCCGGTCTCATGCTGATTTCCGCGAATGCTGTATGGAAGTCAGGTCAGCATCTACTTCCCTTTCTCCTTGGACCCTTGCTCCTCTTTCCGTCGTCCCTTTTCCCGTCGCCTCTTCCTCCCTTTGCCCTTTCCTCTGCCTCTCCTCTTGCTTTCTCCAGTTCCTCTCCTCCTCACTCCTTCCCTCCCCTCCCCTCCATTCCGCCGCACACAGAACGCTACCTGATCTAGCCCCTGTGGAGTCCGGGGCAATGCTGTCAGAGCACCTCGGCTGGTCCTTCCAGCCCTCGATTTTTAGGCGCCTCAAATATCATCCCGTCTCTCCCCTCCCCTCCCCTCCATTCCGCCGCACACAGAACGCTGCCTGATCTAGCCCCTGTGGAATCTGGGGGAATGCTGTCAGAGTACCTAGGCTGGTCCTTCCAGCCCTCGCAGCTCATGCCCACCACCACCGCCATCTCTCTCGATGCACGCATTGCCCTTGTAAGAGGCCTCGCTTCGCTTCCCCTCATCCCTCCCCCCTAGCACTTTTTTCTTTCTTTCTTTCTTTCTCTCTCTCCATTTGTGAACCGAATGAAAAGAGGAAGGGCAGCACATGCCCACTTGTATGTGTGAGTGAGTGCAGCCACACGGGCACCGCATGTCTCACCTGTCTCGCTCTCTTGTCTATGTGGCCCCTGTATGTGTGTGTGTGTATGTGCGTGTGCGTGTGTGCGTGCATGTGAATGTGCGTGTGCGTGTGTGCGTGCATGTGTATGTGCGTGTGCGTGTGTGCGTGCATGTGTATGTGCGTGTGCGTGTGTGCGTGCATGTGTGTGTGCGTGTGCTTGCGCGTCTGTGCGTGTGTTTTTGTGTGTTTGTGTGTGTGTACACGCATCCCATGTGCACCTGTTCTCACTCTATCTGCAGCTGGAGGGGGAGACGGAGATGGTGCGCATGTCCCTATATGCCTACGAGAACGCTCTTGGGTGAGCCTCCTCCTCCTCCTCCTCCTCCTCCTCCTCCTCCTCCTCCTCCTCCTCCTCCTCCTCCTCCTCCTCCTCCTCCTCCTCCTCCTCCTCCTCCTCCTCGTGGCCCCCCCCATCCTCCTCCTGCCCCTTCTCCTCCTCCCCCCCTCCTCCTCTTCTACCGTCGCCCCTGCTCCTTCCTGCCTCCCGTTTTTCTCAATCGTTCTGCCACCTTTGCGATCACTATCCCTTGCTCCCCGTTCCCACCCGTATCTATGTCCTTGCTTTTGCTCCCTCTCTTCCCCTACCATGCTCCCACTAGCCTCACCCATTTCCTCCATTTCTCCGTACCGCTTTCCCCCACTCCCTCCCATCTTCCCCATCTTCTCTTCCTGTTTCTCCCCCCTCTTTGTCCCCACCCCTTTCCACACTTCTCTCCTCCTTCTCTCCCTACTTCTCCCCCTTTCTCCCCTCTCCTTCCTACTCCACTTCTCCCCACTTCTTCTTGCAGCCTGCCGGGATCCCTCCCGCGCCTGCACGTGCCCACCATTGCATCCCCAGTCTCACAGCATCATCCAGCTTCATCAGCAGCAGCAGCGGCAGCGGCAGCAGCAGGGGCAGAGAAAGGGGCTCAAATCACAGCCAACATTGCCAAGGCCAAGCTCAAGGCACGTGCTCTCAGTCTTCCCCTGAACCGCACCTTCCTCTTAGCCTCTTGGTTATGTCTGCAGCACCGCATTCACCCGTTCCACCTGCTGCTCTTCAGCTTTCGTTCTCCCTCATTCGCCCCAAAGAGCCGACTGTCCTTTCACGAGAGACATTATGTCTCAAGAGCTGCACAGCTGTGGCCCTTGGCTTCACTCCCCCACTCCCTTCTCTTGTGTCCCCACCACAACATTGACCTGATTTCCAGAGTGACTTGCTCTCTACGCCAAACAGTGCGAACTCCAGTAAGGAGATTCTTAAATCGCAACAATGTGCTGGAACAAATGACCCAGGGGCAGCCGCTGCTGCCACCTCTGCCGCCGCCGACACTGCCAATTCTCCTGCTTTCTTCACCGTCCACCTCCTTCCTTCCTCCCTCCCTCCCTCCCTTCCCCCCTCCGTCCCTCCCTTCCTACCAGGGATTCCTGGGGAACATGAAGGCGATGGGCAAGGCGCTGCTGCAGCTGCCAGCAGCACCAACCATCCACACGTCCTCCGAGCTGCTGGCCCTCTTTGCCTCCGCGCCCTTCCCTCCCTCCGATGCCCAAGACCTGCTCTTCTCCAAGCCTCATGCAGAGGAACCTCCGGCTCCTTGTGTGTTTCTCTCACCACCCTCACTTACTCGCCCCTTCTCCCTTTCTCGCTCTCTCTCTCTCGCTCCCTCAAGCGATCCTTGTATTACTTTATTTATCCCCACGGATTTTTCTCGCTCGCTCCATTGCTCTGTCTGGTTCGTTTTGTCAGGCCAAGTACACTACTCCTGCTACAAGGATCCACATATGTGATTCCCGTCGCTCGATCTTCCCCTCTCCTCCCCTTCGCTATCATCCCCTCTCCTCTCCCCTCCGGCCCTCTCCTCCCCTCCCTCTCCCGCCCCTCCCCGTCCCCCACCCCCTCCAGCACCCCACACGCCTCTGACAACAACCACAGGACTACCTGCCCTAGTCATCGAGCCAATGACAACTGGTCCCACGCCCACTCCTGGAAAATCCGCACCCACAAGCCCGGCACCCGCTGCCGACACCGGCATATTCAGCCTCTTTGGATTCGGCAAGGCAGCAGCAGGAGGAGGAGCAGGAGGGCAGGGGGATGCGCCCCCGGTTGGCGGGTCGTGGCAGGAGAGGAAGCTGAGTGGGACCGCGGCTATGCGAGCGGATCTGATGTCGGGTGGTGCACCGGCCAAAGCGAGAACGGCTGATGAGATCAGAGCGGCTTATGGGTACCCCAAGAGGCAGCAGGGCACGGTAGGTGGTCGCTGGGAAGACAGTAAGAAAGATGGCGGGGAGAGTTGGCAACCAGACCTGTGTGCGGTGTAGGGACGAGGAGGTGGGGTTGTGTGCTATTTAAAGTGGTTTCCACCACACCCCGACTGACTGCCTGCTGTTGTTGCACCAGCGCCTTTGTATAGCCACTCATGGTATTCCTCCGTGTGTCCGCTTCGCTCTGCATGCCCTCACTGCACTCCCTCGCTCTCTGCTCCCTCGCTCTACTCTCTCAACCATTGTGCAGGATGCAGCTTCAGCAGCTGCAGATGCTCGTGATAAGCTTATCATGCGGGGCGAGAAACTCAAGGTAAGACAAAATTAGCCGCCCGCCACCTCCTCCATACTCACCTGTAAAACCAACCACTTGTCAAATTGCTGTCTGCACTCCTCCCCTCCATGACTCAATTCTTCTGAGAATTCTCAAAGGTGCCGGCTGCCCATTGCTGTCTCTTTGCCCGCTTTTTAGAATTCTCAAAAGTGACTCAGTTCGTCATGTGTTGGCTGCCCATTGCTGTCTGTTTGCCCGTTTTTTATAATTCTCAAAAGCGACTCAGTTCAGTTCGTCATGTATTGGCTGCCCATTGCTGTCTGTTTGCCCGTTCTGCGCAGCAACTGGCATCAGATGCAGAGGATCTCGATGCAGGAGCTGCCGATGTTGACCTTTGAGGCGCCTCAAAATACTACATGTGCCCACTGCCCATTGCCCATTGCTGTCTCTTTGCCCGCTCTGTGCAGCAACTGGCATCAGATGCAGAGGATCTCAATGCAGGAGCTGCCGATTTCGCCAAGCTTGCAGCCGAGATTGCCAAGAGGCAGGAAAAGAAGTGGTGGTGAGCGAGGTTGGGGTGTACCTACGTCATCTTTATGCAGTGATTGCTGTGGTACATAGCTGCAGAATTCTGGTACGTAAATGTAGGTACCGTATGCTTTATTGCTGAGGTTGATAATACAGGAACTGGAAGACTGATTATGAATCTGGTTTTCCTATGGAGGGTCTCGTGACTCGTAACTTGTGCCTCGTAAGTCCATATGATTATTTTGGGCGCTCGAAGATTCACCTGCAGACCAATTTTCAGTTTCTTGTCACTGTCACTTGTTGCAAATACGGAATTATTACCAGTGCACGGTGATTGTGCACACTGACATTGCAAAAATTATGGTACCTAGTTTCTATTTCTACCAAATTACGAAACCGTCAGTTAGCCATACTAATTTCAAGCAATATGAAACCACCTTGATCCAATGCTTCTGTAACGAATCATAAGCAAGGTGCCTTTGCACCAGATACGGGATTGCATGGAAAGCCAAATTTGAAATGGAATTTGGACGAGGGTGAAATGATGGCTGGAACAGAAACAGGCAGGCAGGCAGTCTATCAGTACCCCCCCCCCCCCCCCCCCCCCCCAAGCATACAGCCTGCCTCGGCCTCATTTCATCATGTTACCATGTAACAAATGAACAAACAAAGGATGAGTACAATTGCCCAGCCTCCATATGGGAGTGCTTGGTCTTATCAAACTCGGATTGGGAAGGCTGGGGAGGGAGTCAGAATTCAGAGGATAAATGAAGTGGAAAATGCTGGGATGGCTGGAATTTCTAGGCATAGGAGTGTATGCTTGAGGTGGGTTGAAACGAGGGGACGGAAGAAAACGAGGAGGGGAGGGAGGATGGCAGGTAGGAAGGGAGGAAGGGAGAACGAGAGGAAGGGACGGAGGGAGGGAGGAAAAGTTGAAGCAGTGGAGAGAAGCTTTCACTAGACTAACTATGGGCAACGCATAGTGTGTGGGGCTTGAGGTAATTGGGTGGGAAGGGGCAGCACTTTGTGGTTCTGATGCTGGTGAGGAGAGGGAGGTGGCGCTGTGAGCAGGGATGGGTGCGAGGAGAAAGCCTTGCACGGATGGCTTCAGGTTCAGGGTCTCTTCTCGGAAGCAGCAGCAGCAGCAGCAGCACACAAGACGCCCAGAAGGCTTTAGGGGCAAACGAAAAGGCATCTGAAGCGCGTGAATCTTCGTGCAGGTAGAGAGATGAGTCATTTGAGGGATTGCAGGTGAATTAAAATAAAAGGCGGGTGTGTGACTGGGGAGAGCGGTGGCAGTGAAGCCTTTTCATAAGAGTCACGGGAAGAGGAGAGGGGCTCGCAGCAGGTGGTGCAGGGTTGGGGCGGCACCGGGTGTCTGTCCTGAGGCGCCTCAAGAATACGCGTTTCGAGACGTCTCAAAACTTGATAATCCTTTCCCCACGAGAGGCATGAGAGTCATGGGAAGAGGAGGGGCTCGCCAGAGGTGGTGCACGGTTGATGCGGTGCTGGAAGGCTGAAGAGGCGCGAGAGGATGAGGCGCAGGGCTCTGTGCACGTTCACTCTGTGCGGCACAGAGCACAGCACGAGCGGGGCGCGCATGGCCCTCGCACACAGCTTTGCCTGACAGGACGGGGGGAACGGGGAGTCGGGATTGGGCGGAAGGAGGGTGGGGGGGAGGGGTGGAGTGGGATAATTGGAGAGACGGGGAAGAGGAGGGTTGGAAAAAGGTACATAGAGGAGGGTACCAGGTGAAAATGGTTGGTTGTGATTGATTATGGTGAAGAGATGCAGAAGGCAGTGAAAAGGCATGTGCATGCGAAGGCAAACATGCATGCATGGACCTGCATGGATGAACCTGCATGCAAAGTTCACATACATACATACACCGATCCACCCACACCCACACGCACACACATACACACAAACCCACACACCCACACCCACACCCACACCCACACCCATACACACGCATGTACCTGCTTGGTAACTCGGTGCTGCGTCTCCTGTGCTTGCAGCAAGAAAATGTCAAACTTGGTGCCCACGAGCACAGGCAGAGCACACTGCGGAGCACAGAGGGATGGGGAAGACCGTGCAAGTGCAACCAGGGAGAGACGAAACAAGGGTGAGTACAGACGAAACAAGGAGACAGACAGAAGAGCCGCCAAGGCCAGTGGGAGTGGGGTAGATGTATTTTGAGAACCCGCAAGAGCATGTGTGCATGAAGGTGGGGCGAAACACACAAGGATGTGAGGGGAAAGCGCACACGGTGAAGATGAGTGGCAGCAGAGCAGAGCACACATGAAGGGGATGGGGAGAAGCAAGAGGGTGGGGATGTGGGATGGTTGGTTGGTAGGATACCTGGTTGAGGGCCCGAGCTTCTAAGTACCATGACTGAATGCTGCGATGTGGGCGGAAGCGAGAGAAGGTGAGAGGAGGTGAGAGGAGGTGAGAGGAGGTGAGAGAAGGTGAGAGCAGGTGAAATGAGATGAGAAAAAGGGGCAGGGAGAGGAGACGGGTTGGTTGCAGAGGTGTAATGAGGGATTTGAACCGGTGAATATTAAGGAGGAGGCTGAGAGAAACGTGTGCTGCTTGAGGGGCGTAGTGCATGTGTTGTGAGGAGCATCCTTTCACATAAAATTCTAACCGCATAGAGGTGCGCATGTGCGTGAAGTGCAGCGACTCATTTAGTGCCTCAAAGATTTTTTAAGTGTCTCAAAAGATCCGTGAGATCTTTTTTAGGCGCCTCAAAAGCAGCATGCTCCTACTACGTCTGAGTCTACATTGCGGCGAGCACGTGCTACAAAAAAACATCTCAGGCTACATTAAGGCAGGCAGGAAGGCAGGCAGAGAGGTAGCAGGCAAGTGAGTGATGTTTTGAGTCGACTCAAAGCACGGCTCATCTCACGCGGATTTTGAGTCGACTCAAAACACGGCTCACTTCACAAAGGCAGGCAGAGAGGTAGCAGGCAAGGTACCTGCGGAGCGTGGAGGGGCGAGTGAGGTCGAGTTTTGAGACGTCTCGAAAGACGTCTAAAAAAAAAAGAATTGAGAAAAAAAACAAGAATTGAGACGTCTCAAAACTAGGTAGCAGGCAAGGTACCTGCGAAGCGTGGAGGGGCGAGTGAGGTCGAAGAAGAGCAGCAGCGCTGCCGCATCGTTGCACACAAAGGGCAGCAGGGAGGTGAACTGGCGCCGACCTGGCATGGCGTGTGCACGGGGTGGGGGGGAGGAGAAGAAGCGGAGGGGAGGGGAGGGGCAGCAGCATTAGGGGCACGACACGACAGGGGGTGACACGACACGGCGCAGCATGGCTGCACACGACACAGCATGGCACAACATCAAGGGATGCAAGGAAGTGCGCGTGAGCACCTGAGAGTTCCCAGGAGGTAATGGCGATGGTGGCAGGGGTGGGGGAGGCAGGCAGAGCGATGGTGTGATGGTGACACTCCACTCCCACCGTCGGCGCATACGCTGCTGACCACATTCCCGTTCCTCCCCCTCCTCCCCTTCCCCCTCCTCCCCCTCCTCCCCCTCCGCCGCCGCCTCCACCGCCGCCACTCGCCTGCCCTTGCCCGTTCGCCAGCCCATCAACCGGAATACCCCCACTGCCACCACCACTTCCACTACCACTGCCCCGCCCGCTGCCTCTGGTGCCGCTGCTGCTGCTGCTGCTGCGGTTGGCTGGCGCGCTGGCGACGCCGTTGCCGTTCCCGCTGCTGGCGCTAATGTCGCTGTCGGATTCTTCGAATAAACGGGCCTGAAAAGGTGGGGTGGACGGATGCAATGCGCGTGGGTGGTTCGTGCAACATGTGGGCCGTTGATGCGATACGTGGGTGGTCAATGCAACATGTGGGCAGTGGATGCGCATGTGGGCTGTTGATGCGATATGTGGGTGGTTGATGCCACATGCAATGCCCACCAGCACGCACGCACATCCCAGCACGCACCATGAAGCTCGACTTGCCACAATCCGGGCCGCCAACGAGCGCAACCTTCAGGCGCCTCGAAGATAGACTCACTCACCATGAAGCTCGATTTTCCGCAATCCGGGTCGCCAACGAGCGCAAGCTTCACCCACACAGTGTCGTCCGAATCAGGCCCGGCCACCGACCGCAGCCAGCTTATATCGCCCTCCCCGCCTTCCCCCTCCCCGTCCGCGCCATCCATGTAATCCGCCCCCATTCCCCCGCCCCGCGCGTCCCCGTCATCACCTCCCCCCCCGCCGCCGCCGCCGCCGCGTCCGCCTCCCCCCGTTCCCCGAGTCTCCCCTCCGCCTCCGCCGCCCATCCCCAAGTCCCCGCGGGCTATGTTATCTCTTCCCCCCTGTTGCGCGCGCCAGTCGCCGTCCGCGTAAGCACGCGGATCCCGCTCCCCGTCGTACCCATCGTCAGCGCCCTCCCACACGTCGCTGCTGCCGCTGCCTCCGCTACTGGCTAGATCATCGCATTCCGCGGACGCGCGACCGCCGCCGTCGTAATAGTCGTCGTCGTCAGCAACGGCCGGCTGCTGTGCCGGCTGCCACCGCTGCTGCGGCTCGTCGTTTCTGTCCCGGGTCTGTTGTTGCTGCTGTTGCTGCTGTTGCTGCTGCTGCTGCTGCTGCTGCTCCATTCTACGCCAGTCACCGTCCTCCCGGTCGCCGTACCTCGGCGCAGCAGCGCGGCCGACGCTGTTCAGACCGTTGCTTGCGACAGATGGACGGTTGTGCACGAGGATTGGCACCTCGAGTGACTTGCGACGATTCGCCATGGCGGTGTGCTACACTCGAAGAGCCCTCTAACGAAGTCTTAAAAAGACGCGACGGACAACGGCTCGCGAATGGTACGCTTGTTCCAGATTTGCCGCAAATTTCCGCCAGATTGAATAGAAACAAAAATAACTGACTTTTGTAAGGCTGCCCGCTGACAAAAGAGACGCGGGAAAACTGCAAACCGACTGTCTTCCTTCCAATGCCCCGAAACGCGCAGTACAATTTTCGCTGTCACTTGCTGATGCGGAAGCCGCAGCTTACGAACAACGCGATGACAGATGAAGAGACGGCAATGAGAGCCGGCAAGACGTCCTGGCGGGCTTCTAACATACCGATTTCCGTTTAAAGAGCCGGTAGCAGAGGCTCGGTAAACTAATAGTAACAAATGCAGATGGCAGCGCGCGTTGCGGAAGTACCGACGAGAGAATGGTGGAGTGTGGTGCTGATACGTTATGCGGCCAACCCTAAAACTGTCGAGAGGACTAGGTTACAGGACTGCAGCTAACTCCTTGAAGCAAGGAGGGGAGGGGAGTGGAGTGGGTGTGGGGAATGCTCATTCTGGCTACAGTGTGATCCACCAGCAACTTATAGTGGGCATGGAAATGAAACAAAACGTAACAGTTTTTCCATCGCCACGTCTTTCGCATGAACCACACAAGGAAACGTGTGGCCTGGGCTGCTCGTTCCTCTTGATATATCTCAACGGACAAACAACCCCGCCCAGAAACAAGCCACGGCCAAGCTATATCTCTGCAGGGGCCCGACGGAGAGAAGTGGAGAGCAGCCATGGACGCCGAAATAGCTGCATTCAAACGACGCGGCACGTAGACATTAGTACCATGATCAGCAGCATAGGGGAGGAAGATTCTCAGCGGAAAATGTGTTTCCTGTATCAAAACATTGGCGGACGGTTCGATCGATAAGTACAAGGCGCGCTGGGTCGTGTGCGGCTTCGAGCAGACAGAATTCATTAACTACGACCAAGCGTTCGCACCTGAAAAACACTCACGAAGTGCAATGCTCTGTTTAGTTTTTAATTGACAAAAAAATTGGCGTTTTTTGTAACATTTGTTTTGGAGGATAGAATACACTATAACATGCATCATATCAACAATTGTAACTGGTTTTTGTAACATAATTCGAGTGTACGTAACAAAAGGGGTTCATACCCAGCCCTTCTCTTGTCTGCTATGGGAGGGCAATAACACAGTGACTGTCTCCCTTGTGTACTGCAGCATTCTTTGAACTGGACGCGTTTTGTCGGAAGTGGCGGAGTGCAGATATCCATTCGAATGAAATCAAGATTCAGGCATTCGATACTACATAGAGTACAGTTTTCCTGATAGTCGTATAACCTGGTGCCAGATTACCCTGAGCTGTCCTTGATCGTGGACCCAAAGCTGCCAGTTTTAGCTCGCCGGTTGAGTCTCAACTGGCGGAAGGGATTTCTTCCTGCATTGACATTTGTTCCAAGATTAACTATCTTCTACCAGATAACACACAGGCGGCCCCACATGCGTGGTGTGGATCTGCGTAGTTTAAACCTAACGAACACTGCCATACGAGCAGAGAGCTGTAAGGTCAGAAATGTTTACACCACTCAATGCGTGAGGAACTGAAGTATTTACCTCGACAGATGTACGCACATTTTAGATGTTGCTTGATTTGCAAACAGTAACAACGAAAATGCCGTGCGGATGATGAAGCTGGACCCATAAGCGGGGTTCCATGACTACACATATGTTTCGTTATAGTACTCGAAATCCTTTGAGGTGGTACAAACACAGAACTTCTTAACAACGACCGCATCATGACTGTCTGACTCTGGGTGATGCCGCATTCTCCAATAAATGTGCGTTATCCTCAAATTACATGTGCATGGTGTCGGCCAAGATTGTTCGGAAGTCACTTATTACAATGTCATAAATACCATCAATTGTTTCACCGAAAACTCACATTCAGTTCGTTGGCCTGTGATGCCTGGCAAAATGGGATGTATCATAGCTTTTGTGCTGCCATGGTTACTGTTGCCTGTTGATTATACCTTTGGTTATGACAACGTATGTTTATGATTTGTTTCGTATGTACCTTGATGCCATCTTTATTTTTTAGTGATTACATATTTTGATGACCTCTCTATGTGTCGCCATTATCTACAGCGAAACATTCTGATGACAGATGACGATATTTTTATAATTAGGCACGATTGTTTTTATTTGAGTTTTATATGACAAGCTCAAATAAAACAATCAACAAAATAAATATGAAAGGTGGCATGTGGCCAGGTGAGATATCATTACGGTTGATGCTGACAGAACTGACAGTACACCGTGCCGTTGCATACGATGAATGGAAAGAGGACAGGATTGGAAAGAGGACAAGGTTGAAAATGGAATCGTCGAATATGAAGTGTACAATCCCTGTGAGGCTGATGTGTGCTGTGCTTCTGTATTTTGCGAAGTTCTGCGATACAGCGCAAATGTACGACTCTCTAACCCCAAGGGCGGTGAACAGTTTAGACCACAGAAATAACAAAAATCACGATTCGCTTTGCTTCTAAAAATGATGTTTCTTGAGCTTCCCTCCCTTGACAGCAAAACAACACCAGCATTTCCCACGCCTCGTCCAACACAGCCATCGCACGCGTGACTCAAGGCGATCCAGCCGCTGCCATCCTCGTCTCATTTGTCTGTCCTTGTCGTATCACCGCCGCCCCCTCTCGCACCGTCTCCACCTCCATTGCGGAAGCTCTTGTCTTGTGTGCGTGGTGCTGGTGTGGTATGCCAAGAGAAAGGTGGCAAGCGAACACGCAGCTCCATTATTCGGGAGCGTGGGATGTGTCTCCGCCTGGGGTAATTTCTATGCCTCAGTCGCTATGGCGGCCTTAGGATAAACTGGAAGTATCAGCGAGTGTTCGTCGCCTTGGCCTCTAGGTCTTACGGTGTAGGCAGAAAGCGGGGACCTTTCCTTTCAAGGAGGCGTTTGAATTCTGGTACGTCTGGATCGGAGAATTTACGAGAATCGTTTTAGGTTACCCGTAGTTTCGCCTGCTTCCAAGAACCGTGTTCCCATGAGCCGTTATTGTATCAGCCTGTCCTCACTGCCGCGTCGTCATCATAGCCGTCTCTTTCTCCCCACTCGCTCTCTTCCTTTTCTGGTTCACCCCTGTCCTCCCCCTCACTATATCTCCATATCTCTCGCTCTCCCCTCCCGATCTCTCTCTTTCCCACAATTCCCCTTTTTTCTTTCTCATTTATATCCTTCAAGACTCGACCTCCCTTAGGGTTCCACGACATAAACACGAGTGGCGCTTAGCTGAAAGCCGCTCCTTGCGAACCCTACTTTCCATCATCACTTGCAGATTTCCCGACCTCCCTTCAATTACCCTCAGTCCCCATCCGCTTCCATCGCGCCTGGCTCCTCATTAACATCCCTCACGGCCTCGGCCATTTGCATGCCTCCCTCCGAGCGGAATCCGCTTTCCCTTTTCCCACCTTGCTTCCATTCTACCGTCACCCCTCACCTGCGCTAAAAGATCCCGTCGTTCTTCCCCACCTTTTTTCCTTAACTAATCCACCCCGGATCCACCCCCCCCCCCCCCCCCCCCCCTCCCCCCCCTCCCCACCCGCCCTTCATCTCACCCGCCCACCCCGCTTCACCTCGCAGTCTCCTTCGCGGTGGTGCCTGTTGTGCTCGACTGGGAACGAACTCTAACTCGGCTCGCCCTGCCGTTCTCACGTCAGATCCGCGTTCTTAGGATTCCTGACGGATTCTGTCAGCTCCTCCGGCGCACCTGTCGTCAGACAAGCCGGCAATCAACGGTCACCGATTCGTGACATATTGACCACTACCATTAGTGTGACAACCGTAGCAAGATTGGGAGCACACGCTAAAGCAGAGGGATAGTTGCGTGATCTTCTCCCCGTCTGAGCCAACTGCCACCGTATACGCCGCTCTACGACCCCCCTCTCTTACGCCTCACTATAGGACCCCCCTGCTGTTTCCCCTTGTCGTCTCGCTACCGCCGTTTTTCCCACTCTCCTCCTCCGCGCTTCATTGCGCCTCGTCCGCTCGCGCGATCTGTGCTCCGCCTGCTTCTCCGACCGCCCCAGCGCGCCCCCTCCGCGTGATTCCCTCGCGCGGACGCGCTGGCCCCCAGTCTGCGCGCGCTGCTGTCGGTAGGCGCGAACGCGAGCGCGAACGCGGGTGCGGGCGCAGTGGCGAACACGGATTCCGCTGGGGCGCACGTTGCGAAGCGGCAGAAGGTCAAAGGCGGAGGGTGGAGCAAGGGCCCGGGGAGTGATCGTTCCGCGGAGTTGGATGCGCGGGGTGGGGTGGGCGATGGTACGGCTGGCGCTCTTGCCGGCGGTGCTGCTGCTAGGCCGACAGCGGTGATTGCGGCGCGCGTGGAGAGAGGAGGAGGAGAAGGAGGAGGAGGGGGAAGAGGAGGAGGAGGAGGAGGAGGGGGAGGGGGAGGAGGAGGAGGGGGAGGGGGAGGGGGAGGCAGGGGGACAGAGAAGGGGAGTAGGAGGGAAGGAGAGGCCGAGTTGGAAAAAGGGGTGAGAGAAGAGGTGCAGAGAGTTGGGTACACAGGGAGTGATATTCAAGGAGGAGTGGAAGCAGGGGGGCGGCAGGGGGGACTTGAATCAACCAATCCTGTTGGTGGTAGTGGTGGTGGTGGTGCCTCTGCTGCTCCTCCGCAGTTGATGCCTCATCCATCGTCGTCTAGTTGTGTGGAAGTGGCGCGGCATGAGTTGGTAAGGAGCGGTGCTGAGCGGTGCGCACCTGCTGCTGCCTCTGCTGCTGCCGCCGCCGCGGCTGCGGCTACAGAGAGAGGCAGGCATGGCCCGTGGAGTCTGGAGAGGTATATCAAAGAAGTGCAAGAAGGCGCTGGGTACATGGAGCAATCGGCAGGGGCTAGGGCTCCTCTGGAGAGCAACCGAAGCTGCCGTATGGTGGCACGCGACAGTGGCAGTGGAGGGTGTGAGGGAGGAGGCAC